AATTACTGCTTTGCATGGTATTTCAGTCAGTGTGTCAGCTTCATGTTGATCGAGACCCAAACCGACAAAGACTGCACATGTTTACCACTTGGTGTAATCCAGGTAATACCAAGTATTGTTTTGTGATTATGGGAATCAAACCCTGAATTGTCACAGAGGTTTACCACTTCGATGGGCACCATGAGCCAGACAACCAAGTGCATCTGAGTACAATCTGCAAATCCTGCCATGCCTAAGAGATGCAACTCTGCTTTAACTGCTGGTGTGCATTCAAGCACTTGTATGAACGAGATGGCAATGTACAATGTGATTAAGACACAAATCATGACTTCCCTTTACTAATAACTGATGATCTGAGAAACCCAAACCTGCGGTTACCATGGTTACTATTGTCATTAATGATCATTAAAAACACACTATTCTACAGCTGTACAAAACTAGTTTACAAAATGGTCAGGTTAGAAATAGCACATTTGTCCAGTAAAAATATATATGTATACTTATAGAACTGCTATTCATTCCATGTTAAGGATACCGGTATGGTTATATATACTATCTACAGCATTATATCAGACAGATGAGGCAAAAAATGCAATAACAGTATAACGTGGTATACAGTTCTATAGCACATACACAGAACATTGTTCTACAGTGATTACACACAATGTGAATGTTACCTGGGTACAGAGAAGCTACACAATGCTTCCAGTTATTGTAATGCTTTGTGAAGGTTCAAAGAAACAAAACCACGACCACACCTGGCTCTCTGTAATAGCTGCAGATGATTAATTTGTATTATACTAATCAAAAATAAATGGACAGAACAGACACATTGTCAAATGTTTAAGGGTCTGTATACATAACATTCCTCCATCACATGTGAATACATATTGAGTGAGCTTAGTTTTACGCCACTTTTAGCAATATTCCAGCAATATCACGGCGGGGACTACTGGCTCTCACATATTGTACCCATGTGGGGAATCAAACTCGGGTCTTCGGCGTAACGAGCGGATGCTTTAACCACTAGGCTATCCACCGCCCCCCACCACACTTGAATACATATTGAGGCTGATGTGTGGTGTAAAAGTAACATATATCCAATTAGTAAGATAATGAAATGAGTTGGTGAATAACTAAGAGAACTCTCAAACTCGTGTTTGTATTTTTGTTGTTTAACACCACACCTAGCAATATTCTGGCTATGTGTACAGCAGATCATACAAGGCTAAGGCACATGTGCACAAATCAAGCTTAACACTGCCATTGCCATGATGTAAACCAGTCACTGATTGGTCGGACAGCTTGCTGAAATTAGGTCAATTTGTGACAACACTGTTCCACGAAAAGTCACCTATGTTTATATGAAACTAGTCTACATGTCATTTGGGATGAAAGTTCTTTTCACAAAATTGCTAGATATTCAGAGGAAACAAGTCCCTCAACATCTTATTGGCAGCCTGTATTCACTGATGATGGAGAATGTTGTGTATACTGTTGTGTTGACGATAGAACAGGTAAGGCAACACAATCCAGGTAAAAACAGCATTACTGACACCAATGGAAGAATTCAATTCAGATAGGGCTATCTTTGGTAACAGCCATCGGCTTTTCTTTATTTGGAGTGTCACTTCATTCATTATACCAGTTTTCAACATTAAGAAAGCAGACATGGTGTATACTGCTCCATAATACAATGTATCCATTACCTATTAGCTTCCATATAGTACAAAGAGTATACAAATGTCCTAAATCCATCTGAAAGATAAATGCAATTCTCTTCTTAGAGGTCGACATACTCCCATCTAACAACAGGACAAGCACATAATTGGTAGAACCTATGATATCTTTAAATATTTTCAAATAACCTAGCATTTAGTTCCAATTATTCTATCATTCAATATTGATACAGAAAGATTATATCTTACAACAGAATGTAGTACAGGAATGTCTTGGAAATATATCTACGATGTATTCAGTTTCTACAGAAACAATATTTTTATCACACCACCAAAGATTGTACTTTTAGACCTGAAAACACAATACAAATAATACACATAATATTCAATTTAACCTCATGGAACTCAATTCACATATAAGATACATTTTATGTTTGTGATGTTAAGAAAATAACTTTGGTTAACACTGTGGTAGGTATAAGTCTGGGCTACAGGAGTATTTTGATCAACAAAGATTACAGCATAAAATGATAATATCAAGAAATAAATTCAGGAAATTCTATATACACTTAAATTTTCACAGACATGAACAGAGTAGGAGTAAATATAATGCAATATACCACAATCACCTGATGACGAATTTCGATCAAATCCCAAGACAGTGCTTCTGTAAAATGAATTTTGTTTAAGCATGCACACAAGACATGAGTCTAAACGGTGAAGCGAGGGAACATTTCCTTGGAACTGATGGAATGATTAGGTGCAGAATGTCTGTACTAACACAGCAGAGGTCACTGGCTACAATTCACATTTCAAGACAGAACTAGCAAGAGTGAGGGAGTGAGTATAGTTTTACGCTGCACTCAGCAATATTCCAGCTACATGGCTGCAGTCTGTAAATAATCGAGTCTGGACAAGGCAATCCAGGGATCAACAGCATGAGCATCGATCGATGCAACTGGGATACAATAACATGTGTCAACCTAGTCGGCAAGCCTGACCACCCGATCCCGTTAGTCGCCTCTTATGACAAACATCGGTTACTGAAGATCAATTCTAACCCGGACCGTCACGGGTTGCACTATCAAGAAACTTTCACACACTTATTTGTACATGCAACGCTAAGTATACTGGTCATCTACTATCAGGTGAGGCTGGTAAGATTGGTTTTAGCACTGTCATATTTCGTTGACCCCAACCTCATCGAAAATATCAATTTTCTACAGCTCTCCCCAAAACAAATGTCACATCTTTTCATAAACCCCTTCCCAAAAATTAAATGGTCAGTCCCTAAATAATGTTCAAATATATATAAAAAATATTTGAAAAAATATATGTTAACTTTTTCCCCCCAACCCAATCAGTTACCATAAATGTTGGCACCTTCCTCATTCTTTCACACTCATGTCTCCTCCAGAATCTCAACATCCCCCTATTATTTTATAAATAATGGGTCCCTAAATTGGTCATGTCTATCAAAATATTCATTGAAATCTGGACTGGTTTGCATAAGGTTGTGCAGGATGTTGTCAAATAACACTGCTGTATAAAACCAAGGCAACATCAAGGAACATGATTTGGTTTGTTGAGTTCATGCCATACTTGCATACTGGGCTGTGATTGTCGTACTGCTCTCACCTTTCTCATCCTATAACAACTGCAAATAGGTCAGGGTTTCAATACACCTGCCACAGTATATATACCACAAGAATTTACTCACTTTATTCTTATTATTAAGTGAAGAAGGTGGTATTCTATTTTACTGAATAATATTGACCCCGGGCCAATTCCAAAACACCATCTGAGGGCTACAACTGTAAGGGTTAACATACCATGGTTGAAACGGCCTTGTTTATTACTGGTGAGGGTGTGGTCCCAGATAGTGATTAACCCTACAGCAGTTGTATCTCTAAACATGGAAATATAGTTTACATTGCGACTGCAATATTACAGCCATATTGCAACTAGGACATTTGGTAATCCTCTTTAAGAGTCAGTGACAAAAATGTCCATGATCAAAAAGGGATAAATTATTATATATAACAAGTTTTATGGATAACAACTTCTTTATTTTCATTGAGTCACGTTTACGATACAGCTTCTTGTACCGCTGTCAAGCAAGAGTGCTTGCTTGACAACGCACAAGAAGCTGTATCGAATCCTCACTGAAAAATAAAGAAGTTGTTATCCATAAAACTTGTTATATATTGTAAGTCTCAACTTCTAAAATGCCACTCAAACAAGGATAAATTATTATTGTCAATTCACATTAATAATGTTACTGATGCATTAGGTATTTGTACAAAACTTGCATGTACACAAATCATGGTCTTTTCTTGGGCGGATTGCAGTGTAAATACGAAGGTGAAGATTACTTGGATGGAATAGTGCAGCAGGTTACGAATACCAACAAATCTGATGAATACAAAACAATTATTATCTTACTCTACTTTCATAGCAAGGTATTTAAAGGCACACTCTGTGACACCACTCTGTAGTCCACAGTACTTTGTTGCATATTCCATACCTCGGTTGGGTGTAGAAATGTAGAAAATGTGAAACATTAAATTGAGGTATAATGATAATGTATTAATTCCATAACCTGATGTGTTTATGTGTACATATAACTGAGCCTACGTTATTGCGATCGAGGCAATAGAAATTAATCAACTGAGCACATGGTGATGTAATTAAGTAGATAACAATATACGATACACATCCCTTTTCCTGCATTACTTGCCTTATCTCATGTACCATTGTTGAATAACCTGGACTCCTGTCAGTCTTCCAGCAATTTAGTTACCCAATCAGGATTCAATATATGGTTTACAAAATGATCCTTGACTTTCATGCCTAAAGTGTAACACAGCACGTACTATTTCTTGGCATTAGTATACATTGTAAAACATGTTTATCACTTCACAGGGACTGTTAGAGTACAAATGTAAAACACTGTTCTCGGTCTGTGAGAGTACAAATGGAAAACACTGTTCTCGGTCTGTGAGAGTACAAATGGAAAACACTGTACTCGGTCTGTGAGAGTACAAATGTAAAACACTGTTCTCGGCCTGTGAGAGTACAAATGGAAAACACTGTACTCAGTCTGAGAGAGTACAAATGGAAAACACTGTTCTCGGTCTGTGAGAGTACAAATGTAAAACACTGTACTCGGTCTGTGAGAGTACAAATGTTAAACACTGTACAAGTACTGTAGGAGTCAACCAAGTCGTTATACGTGGACATATATCAACCCCTGCTTTGCTCCCTCATCACAGACTGTCAGCCCCTTGGGTTCTATCATCTAAACCTTCTGGTCTTGACTTCATAATCTTGATGACAAATGAAAACGATAACATGGAATCAACATTTGCAGTTCTCTAAAACACATCCAAATAATACTTTCAGTCCATAATGAGCAATGTTTTGTTCATGCCCATATTTGTTGAACCTAAATGAATCTGAACCTTGTTCTGTACTGTCCTGTAATATAGCTGTCTTCAACATATCTTCTTCCAATATACCTTGCAAGCTTACACAATACATGTCAAACACAGCCCAAAGCTTCAGGTCCTCAGCATGCTGATATTTGTTAGAAACACACAACCCATACAATCCACTTACTAAGATAGTGTTACACCATAAGTCTGTAAGCTGGCATATATGGATGTATTTACAGAAGGGGGGTATTCTGGAAGCTGCTATGTCAAAGCCTAAACTCACAACAGGGTTAGGCACAACCTGCCAGGAACACAGGATTAAGATATCTGGTGGATGATGCAAGGAGCTTTAATCACAGGAACTTCAGCACGGGCTGTTCCTTAAACTCCTCATCAAGGGCATCAGACAGGATGGAGGGCCGGCCTCACGCAAGAAGGGATGTTGCATCAGCTCGGCTGCGGTGGCTCGCTGGGTCGGGTCACGCACCAACATCTTGTCCAGGAAGCCTTGAAGTCTTGGAGAAACCTGACAACATGATTGAAACATTAGCTGACTGATTGCTGTTTAATGCCACAAATTTCTGTTTTCGTCATGGTGGCCTGTGAGTAATAATTACGCTTGGACAAGAAGCAAGAGTGTGAAAGTATGCTGTTTTACTTGCTTTTAGTTTTAGCAACAGTCCTGCAATACCGCAGCGAGAACACCAGATATGGCTTCACATGGTGTAACCACATGGGAATCAAACGCAGGCCTTATTCATGACAAACAAACACTGTAGCCACTAGTGAGTGAGTGAGTTTAGTTTTACGCCGCTTTTAGCAATATTCCAGCAATATCACGGCAGTGTACACCAGAAATCGGCTTCACACCTTGTACCCATGTGGAATTGAACCCGAGTCTTCGGTGTGATGAGCGAACGCTTTAACTACTAGGCTACCCCACTGCCCCCTGTAACCACTAAGCTACTGCTCCCATGGACCAGGGAAACCTGTGAATAAAAGCCTGAGCCCCCTATCCATGTTATCAGGAGGGACAGAATATACAATCAGAGAAGTCAGAGCTTGACTACCCAGTTCCTATTTCAGTTGGTTCTTGTGATACACATGGGGTAATGAATACAAATCTTATCTGACCTCACAGGTTCAGAAATGATATTTCACAAGACATGCAAGGACATCAGTTTGAACATTGTTTTGATGGTGGCTGTATGTGGCTATCAAGAAAAGCTACATGTAATAATGGTAATTGGTTACCTGAAAGTAAGGATATATGTAATATGAATAAAAAGCACAGTTTTCCATTTAGAATTATTTTCTTCAGCAACACAAGAGTTTTTACTATACATACAGATATCTTATCAGAATAAAACATCAGAAAAATGAAAGCGTATGTGAGTCTGGGTTAAAGCTGCTTTTAGGAATATTCCAGCAATATCACGGCAACATTACAGCAGGTGACACCCGACACAGGCTAAACACATTGTACCCATGTGAGCAATCAAACTCAGATCTTCAACGTGACAAGCGAACATTTTAACAACGAGGCTACCCCAATAATAATGAAGAAGGACGGATCTTAAATAATAACTGCTGTTGGTAAGAAGTTAAAAATAATCAACAACAGCACAGCTTCTTTGTAGACAACTTGCCAAGGGAAGTAACTGTGTAACTACATATCGAAATGCTCAGACCAGTCTTTCAGAGTTTCCTTAATCAGGACATTGTAAGGAAGAAGAAAATATGCCAGTGTGTTGTCTCACCTTGTGTGTGTTCTTCAGTTTCGGTGGAGGCATGTCTCTGATGCGCCTCATGGCCTGTAGTGGGGGTTCATTGAAGAAAGGTGGTTCTCCATCTATCATCTCAATAACCATGATGCCCATGGACCAGATGTCCACCTAGACAATCACATAACACATCAGTGAGTGAGTGAGTGAACAGCGAATCAAATCAATGTTTACTGGATTCTGGCATTCTAAGGGAAGCAACTCACAGTAAATTTACAAACCTGGGCTACATGCGCTTAGTACAAAATAGGATTCAGTAATTGAAGACAGGTCATGCCATGCTTATCATATGGACTTTGATGAGAAAGGACATTTCCCTTTTCCTACAGTAAGGAAATAATAAAATAAGGTCCTTACGAAACGGTTTTGTCCCTAGTCATGCTCTTCATTTGGATTTTAACAAGAAGACAAAGTCATCAATATCCCCCTCAATGGCAAAATACTCTTCATGATTATGTCTACGAGTTATGATTATGTCAAATATTTAGGTGTGTATATAGAAAAGTGGAAGGAGAGTATTGAAAGGTTTTTAAAGTTCTGCTCCAGAAAGCAGCACTATAACCAATTTCAGGCTAAGTCAAACTTGTTGCCATGGAAATGCCAAAAATATTTTATTCAGAATTACAAAACTACCAAAAGGCACCAGTACACCACCAGACCAATCTATGTGCCAAGTTTGGTGAAGAAATAGTGAACAGTTTTAGAGTACAGCTCCGGAAAAGACCACTACTACAATTTCAGTCTAAGTCGAACTTGTTGCCATGGAAACACCAAAAATATTTTATTCAGAATTCCAAAACTACCAAAAGGCACCAGTACACCACCAGATGTATCTATGTGCCAAGACAAATGAGCACGGAAAAAGAGTTCTACCGGATTTCAGTCAAAGTCGAACTTGTTGCCATGGAAACGTCCATTTAATACCCCCAGTACACCACGCCATGTATGCTTTGGGGGGTTTTAGAGTATAAAACTGCAGAAATTTCTCTTAATCTCAGGCAAGTAGATACATATTTCAATCTAAAAGCAATCAATGTAGGCAATTTCAAATTCAGCTGGTAGTCCTTCATGGAGGTCAGATGAAATGAAATGTGATGCACAAAGAATATTTAACACAATACTATTTAACAGTACCAGAAGTTGGTATGGAATACCTGCTGCACACTACTTAATACTAAAGACACACAAATTTTCTATCCTAGTTATTTCATAATGCCATCTATGTGGCAAATGGCTGTTTTTATCAGATCAAACAGATGCACGTCAATACACACGTCAAGTCCACAATATGCCTTACCTCTGGGCCATATGGAAGGCGGGATATTACTTCTGGCGCCATCCAGTATGGGGTTCCTACCAGTGACTTCCTCTTCTGAAGCTCCATAGTAACTTGAGCACAGAAACCAAAGTCTGACAGTTTCACCTGAAATTTGAGGCAAATTGTGAGGCTTAGACATATTTCACTTTTATCCCATTGTGCTGTTTATTGATTTTGAAAGCAACCAGCATGGATGGATAGATGGATGGACATCCTGCATCACATGGATAGCAAAAGATTTATTGTGTGCGATTTAGTTAATCAATAATTGATTATTATTTTCAAATTGCATGACCAACGAACAATGTTACACTCAATGCAGACATGATTAATAATGCTGTTGCTCAGATTTTACCAATCACAACTGACCTTTCCATCATGTGACAGCAGTATGGAGTCTGACTTGATGTCCCGATGGATGACTCCGTGAGAGTGAAGGAAGGCCAGGGCTTTCAGACAGGCCCGACACACTGTTGCTATCTGCACCTCGTCCATCCTGGAAACACAAGCAGATTACACATCCTGGTACAGCAATATTAACGGGGTGATGATGCTTTAATCAGTTATATATGTGCAGGGAATGTAGGCAATTCAAAATAATCATGAATAAAGTACAGCTAATTGGGTTTATCTGAGGGTCTGACTGATTATTTTTCTCCATATTTGTGCAACAAGTAGGGGACATAACTCTGCACTGACTGAGGTTATGTCTGAGGCCCTTGTCATTACATTCATGTGCATAAGGCATATCAGCAGCCTATTTGTCCTGTGGATACCATATCTACTGAGATTTAGTTCTCAGGCAAGAAGTACTCTGAAACACTTAAGATCATTTTAAAATCCTTCTCAACATTCAGTAAATCAGTATGCTGACAGTTTTGACAACTCGAAAGTACAAATATGAACATGACTATGACTATGTACCCAAGGAATACAAGATGCCTCTGTGCTTACCTGCTGTGTGTGACAATATCTGTGAGTGCACCTCCTTCCATGAACTCCATGACGACCCACAGCTCATCTAGCACTAAGTAACTGTTGTACATATCTACAATGTTGGGGTGATGGTAGTCTCGCATTACAACCACCTGCAGCACAACCAGTGTCATGGTAACCATCTTGTACACATTTCTCACGCACGCACAAAATTCAATATTTTAACACAAGTTCAGGGGACTATTGGAAACTTATTTCAATAGTACTCTGTGTTTGTAGTCCTGCCTGAATGGGGCAAAGATGTCTGCTATGGTTATATTTTCTGTGAGTTATATCCAGTCCCAATTTCTGCCAAAACAGAAATTTAATAAATGGTTCAGAATAAGAAAACCCACACGCTAGTAGCAGAGATGCCAACCCTATTTTGAGTCTAAGTGTAATACTGGAGGTCAAAAAAGTGTAATTTGGACCTAAAAAGTGTAATACTTAAAACACTTACTTAGTGAAAGGTGATAACTTTATAAAAATTACTTTTAAAAAGGTTTATTGACATGAATAGGAAAGATTCTAGACAGAAATACACGTGACTAATCATTATGAAGTTCCATACATCGAAAATTGTTGGTCAGGTGACACAAAATACTTTAACTCCTTACAAATTAATTGGAATGAGCGCAATGCTAAGAGTAAGCGATTCCTATCGGTGTAAGGCCATTTCTGAAGCCCTGCACTAGTGCATTACAAAAACATTTCCTGTGAAATTTTATCCCCTTCATTGATTTTCGCAAAACGAGTAGAAAGGCGTAATTTTTTCGCAGATTAAGTGTAATGGCGTAATTTAATGGTTAAAATCGTAATAATACGTCCAAAGAGTAAGGGTTGGCATCTCTGTATTAGTTAATAGGGACTACCATCTTTGGATTTTCACTAGTCCAGAATACAATTAAGCAGTCCTAGCTAGCAGAATTGCTGGAATTTCCAGGGCTGTACATATGACTAGAGCAACTCATATCAATGAAATTATGTTAAATTTCCATTTCTGTATCACCAGTTGTTCGATCAACATTCTAGAAGTTGATGAGTCAATAACATCAAACCATCACTCTATGCAATACACAAAACGCTGTTATCCATAAAGTCATATCCTTCGTTATTCAGAACATGGGGTATCAAAGCAGTGTGAAACTGAGCATGAAAGTCTAGTGGTCCTAATCATGATGTTGAAAGTTTGGGGATTACATATTCACAGATTCATAAACCCCAGCATGGGTAGACCCAAGTGATCATTTTCAACTTGTCCACTAACACTAACTTCAAGCATCTTTTAACCATATATTTAAGATGTCATTAACTTTCGCCTTAATCTCAGAATGTATTTCTTTTAAAACAAGAATCCTTCTTTGATGGGCATTTTAAAAGTTGAGTTGATGAAGCATAATGACAATTATTGTGGATATACAACTCCTTTTATTCTGTGGAGGCGATGTTTCGACATAGGTTCTAATGTCGTTGTAATCACTTGCTTGATAACGACATTAGAACCTATGTTGAAACGTCGCCTCCACAGAATAAAAGAAGTTGTATATCCATAATAATTGTCATTATTCTTCAACAAGAATCCTGTTTACCAACATCAAAGACATAAGTTGTTTCAAGGTATCACCTGTTAATTACTAAAAAGAACAATTTTAAACCCTTTGGCTTTCATGATAATCATATTAAATGTCAGTTACTGCTTAGACAAAGAAAAAACCAGAATTGGACTTGCAAGTAACCAAAGCTTTTTCCAGTGCATTGAAAAGGTGACAATATGGCCTGTTCTGGAGGTGCACATAGCTGTCCCAATCAGGCAAATTTAGACAAGGCTACATTAATTACACACCTCATTAAACAGCAGCTCTCTTCTCTGTTGTTTTCTCAGATCCATCTTTTTAACAGCAACCTGCTGGGCTCGGGATCGGTCGTTGGCGATGCACACAATACCTGTTGAACCTTCTCCAATCTTGACAAACTCTGACAAGAACTCACGAGGATCACCGGGCGAAACCACCATTTGCAGTGCATTTCGGAACTACAAATAGTAATGTCAGAAATATGCATCTATCTCTAAGCTATTGACCTAATGTGAAAACGTCTCAAACCATTCAAGGAGATAAATGATTTTGATGATTCTTAGTACTGCCTAAACCATACTCATTGGTGTTAATGAGTGAGTGAGTGTGTGAGTGAGTGTATGAGTGAGTGTGTGAGTGAGTGTATGAGCGACTGTGTGAGTGTATGAGCAAGTGTGTGAGTGTATGAGCGAGTGTGTGAGTGAGTGTGTGAGCGAGTGAATGTATGAGTGAGTCTGTGAGTGTATGAGCGAGTGTGTGGGTGAGTGTATGAGAGTGTATGAGCGAATGTGAGTGAGTGTATGAGCGAGTGTGTGAGCATGTGAGTGAGTGTATGAGCGAGTGTGTGAGTATGAGTGTGTGTGTGAGTGTGTGTGAGTGTGTGAGCAAGTGTGTGACCCAGTGTGTGAGTGAGTGAATGTGAGAGTGAGTGTTTGAGTGAGTCTGTGAGTGTATGAGCGAGTGTGTGGGTGAGTGTATGAGAGAGTGTATGAGCGAATGAGTGAGTGAATGAGTGTGTGAGCGAGTGTGTGAGTGTGTGACCCAGTGTGTGAGTGAGTGAATGTGAGAGTGAGTGTATGAGTGAGTCTGTGAGTGTATGAGCGAGTGTGTGGGTGAGTGTATGAGAGAGTGTATGAGCAAATGTGAGTGAGTGGGTGAGTGAGTGTATGAGCGAGTGTGTGAGTGAGTGTATGAGCAAGTGTGTGAGTGAGTGTGTGTGAGTGAGTGAATGTGAGAGTGAGTGTATGAGTGAGTCTGTGAGTGTATGAGCGAGTGTGTGGGTGAGTGTATGAGAGAGTGTATGAGCGAATGTGAGTGAGTGAGTGGGTGAGTGAGTGTATGAGCGAGTGTGTGAGTGAGTGTATGAGTGAGTGTGTGAGTGTGTGACCCAGTGTGTGAGTGAATGAATGTGAGAGTGAGTGTATGAGTGAGTCTGTGAGTGTATGAGCGAGTGTGTGGGTGAGTGTATGAGAGAGTGTATGAGCGAATGTGAGTGAGCGAGTGTGTGAGCGTGTGAGTGAGTGTATGAGCGAGTGTGTGAGTGAGTGTATGAGTGGGTATGGTTTTATGCAATATTCCAGCAACACCAGAAGCAGAGACACCCAATTTGGGCTTAACACACTGTAGCAATGTGAGGAATCAAACCCTGAGCAAACACTTTAACCACTTGGCTACACAACCGCGACTGATTTCAATACCTTTAGAGGAAATACACAGAAACACACAGGAATGAAAGTGAATTATAATTTAAAATCACAGAATCATTACTAAAGCCATATAGACATAAATATGATTATGGAAAACATAGAAAGAATGGCTTATTTTTGATAATCATTCATTCCTACATAAAAAAAATTGATCGTGTCAAATATTCCAATTTATTTTGTCCCACTGAGATATTACTGATGAAGCCAAGACAAAATAGTGTTTAAAGGGTTTTTTCCCAGAGAAGTCAAAATAAAAACCAACACTGATTACCATGGTTAGAGATTTTTGGCACCTGTATATCATAAACACTGCAGCTTGCAATTTCATTTTTCGACGTATGTGTTCAGTCAAAAGACATTTCAGCGTGCATGTATAGGTTCACTGTGTTTGTCTTCCTATGGCCCAGGTATTTCAATATTTGTTCAAAACCATTTTCTTAATCGCTATCAAACAATCAAACATGACAAATGAAAGAATTCATATAACAATGTGTTCCATATGAAATAAATAACATGTAAACCAAAATATATCATGATATATACAATGCATAACTGAATTCTGATGCATTCCACTAGATTCCTGCCTGATTGGTTGGACGTCAGTCTAGTTAAAAAACTTCAGATTCTTTATAGTTTTAAGAAAAGAATAGAAGAATGGGAACATAAAATGAAAGACAAAACCAAATACAGGTAAAGGAGTGCAATACACACAATAAAAATGTTATTTTTTACACCACAGATTTCAAAACAGGTGATAAAACAAGACAATGAACACCATACTGACAAGATTATTGTGACACTGAGTCGGGTGTGATTTATGCACAGACAGCAGACTGAACATGCACACTTACAACATTACACATGCAATGTAATGCCAGTTAGGTGTCAGAAGCAGAGAGCAGCCAGACACACTACTCAGTTATTCTGTGAACACGTGATGTTACAGCCTTCAGCTCTGGAGCTCAAGTGAAATTTTCCAAAATTTTGTTTTAATTGGTCAATTTTAAATCATTATGACATCAGGTCTAAAATTTGGATTCATACATATTTTAGATATTAATCTTTTTCAAAATAATTTTGTTTAAATAGATTTTGTTTTCAAAAAAAATTGTAGTGACATCGACAAAATGTACATCAAAATTCAATAAAAGTATGAAAATGATCTTGGTTTTTACATCAAATACAAATTTGCTGCCAGTCAAAGATAATTGCTGCAGGAATGAAATAGTATGAATGAAAAAAAACGGTAAGTGAGATTCTGTAGAGCATCCTTTTAACATGTAGAGAGTGCTATGAAAATTATCTGCCAAACTATTAACATACAAATGGTACATTGTTGTGCAACATACTCATGGTATAAATCTCATATCCACACAGTGAGGAGATAACAAGTGGTGATGGGCAAACCTGTTCATGTGAGAGTCGCTGCTGCTCTGGGCTGGGTCCTGGCTGCTTGCTGTGGGGCGGGGACTTGCCGCCTGGGGGTGAGGGCTTCTGATTGGGCGAGTGAGGGGGGCGGTGTATGTGCTGGCTGTTGTTTGGCTTATTAGGGGACTGGTCACCCTTGAGAGAGAAAAGAGGGTGGCTAGTCTAGCAGCGTTACATGCACAAACACATGCAGGAATGTGACGAGCATACAACCAACAAACTGTTAAAAGGCTGCAATGATTCACTTGTTCAAGAAACACCACCATGTGACATACTGATACAGTAAAATACCGACGGACCTCACGTCATTTCAGACTAGATGTACACAACTTTACTGGATTTGGGGAGAAAACTAGTCCTCCTAGATTTCCACTAATCTCAAGACTAGCAGACTAAGCCCATGTCAACAAATTAATTACCACAATGAAAAACATTGTTAGAATATTGCTTAGGGTAGTTGCTCATTTCTGAAGTTAAGTGAATCATTGCTTCCTTAACAGTAATTCTGGTACATATAATTAGTTATACCATGATGTTTGGTTTGGGCAAAACAGAAACACAAATCGCAGGCTGTTCTTCAGCTCTGCTTCCCCAGGTTGTTTACCCGAACATACTACTCCATTAAAGCGAGGAAAATGAGGACAGTGGTTGCTGCTAGACAAATCCCATGCAAGAGATGAATCAACAAAGATAGAAAACAGAAGGGGTGATGGGAGCAGTTGATATTTGCAATTAACTATTTAAAATCAGAAAAAAATTAGAGAGAGAAAAATCTTAAGAAAAAGAGGGAGCAATGTAATAAAAAAAGAAATTTGAAAAAAGGAATGAATCTGCTCATGAAACAGTTTTTCCGTGAAGATCCATTGCCATGGTAACTGGGCTCCCACCACTCCTTCACAACCACCTAGGGACCTCATTGACAAAATCAGTAATCAAATATTTATTAAAAAATGAAAAAAAATAACCCAGCCAAACTCTCCCCATCTCCTTTCCCATGCAAAATAATATGGAATGAGTGAGACATGACACAGTGCCATAGAAAAAAGTGAATCCTGCAAAATTTAAATTTAACTAGACTTGACCAAATTTCTATATCCAAACTGTAACATTGACAATAAACTGGAGTTTAATTACCAGTAAATGCAATATGCATGTTACAACTCTCTTCAATTTGTCATGCACTTAAATTTGAATCCTGTATATATACATGACAAACCGTACCAGCCTCCTGAACAATAACTGCCCAGTGCCAAGCAATTTACCCCCATGTTTATTAATCAAGCATAATGAAGATCCCTCTTCTCTCCTCCCCATCAATCAATTAGCACAGAGCATGAGTTAGTTCTACCATGTGCACTGTCCATGTGAAATGTAGCAGAAAATGACAGCAATGGACATCACTTTGACAAAGACATACCGATGTTGATTACTGGATCAATTAAGGCTGAAGCAGCAGCAAATACCAAACTGGGGATGTTATGCACGTGTTATTAACAAACTGCAGCAGTTTGGTTAGTTGCCACTGAGTTAACACATTCACAATGCACAAAATAAATCTCAACAGCACCTTCCTAGTGAATGTCAACATTCATTTCAGAATAGCCACGTGATGAAAGAGTGATGTAATGAAATAAGGACTTTGCTTTAATGGACATGAAAGAAAAAGGCTAGAACTAAAATTGGATTCAATTTTGATGTTGCGACGATCTGACAACCAGCCATTTCAGATCCTGTAAAAGTGTCCGTTAGGGTCATAACTGCATTTTGGAAGAAAATATTCCTTTGATCAAAAATAATGAACATCATGAGTTTCTGAAATAGCGACACAAGATTATACACCTTTCATGCATGAAGCGAAAATGAAAAGGAGGACATTGTTCTTATCAAATACAAAACGGATATTATCAATAACCTAGCATTAAAAAGTTACAACGTTCACATTTTTCGTGAAAGAAACTATGTCCAAAAGCATGAAAAGCTGTCATATTTTTCTTCATTTCTAAATGCTCTCTTTGAACATGTTGAACAGTAAAATGTTGCAGGGAGAATACCTTTAATAAGACACTTTTTGTTTATTATTTGGAGAGGTTTTTGAAAAGTATATGCCGGCCTACCTATCTTTTTTTCGTTTCAATTTTCACACTGTGAAAATTATATCCCAATTCATAATATTTATGTTGGGGATACCTTTCTAAATGCTCTCTTTGAACATGTCGAACAGTAAAATGTTGCAGGGAGAATACCTTTAATAAGACACTTTTTGTTTATTATTTGGAGAGGTTTTTGAAAAGTATATGCCGGCCTACCTATCTTTTTTTCGTTTCAATTTTCACACTGTTATTTGGTCAGGTTTTCACATGTAGATTCAGTTTTCGTACTGTTCTGGGTTAGTTTTGAAGGGAGAGGAGAGAGGCCAGGGTTAATCCTGTGTTAAGCTTAGGTTTCCATATGGTTGTTTGTTTAGGTTGTCAAATAGATTATGTCCAACTTCATGAGAACATCATTATACTTACATATACCTGACAATATTTACTGCTTGAGCATATTGCTTGGATCGTAATATTGATTATCTGTACCTCACATGTCACAGAAGGCTAACGCTGGTCTCAGATTACAAGTATACAGCTAGGAATGGATTTGATATTTTATTGTAATGACTGACTGAGTTTGGTTTTAAGCCGCTTTTAGCAATATTCCAGCAACATCACAGCGGGGGACACCAGAAATGGGCTTCACACATTGTGCCCATGTGGGGATTCGAACCGGGGTCTTTGGCGTGACGAGCCAACGCTTTAACCATTAGGCTATCCCACAGCCCCTTATTGTAATGAAGGTAAAGCTAGCAAAACTTCCTAAAATTCATACACTTAACCAAAATGCCATTACTATTTTGAATACAGTTATGACATTTCAGGCCTAGCAATATGTACGACAGTGGCTGAATGTGGTGTTGTTCTAAGTATATTGTATTTATGCTGTTCAAACAGAAACTTCTCAAGCAGAGTTTTGTAGCTGTTCTCAAAACATAGTTTGAAGATCAAACTCAGGGGTGGAAATAACTTTAAAATTGCTAGTGTACTCCGGTACAGTGGCACATGTAAAATCACTTGCCCTGATAATTATTCAGCTATACCGCTGATTTTCTTGGTGATTTTTTAAATAAACAATATAACTAACATTGGAATGTCAACTGGACACCGGTACAGCGTGATATACAAATGTGCTTGCCCGACAGGAAAAAACACTGGCCTTGGACGTCAGGCAATGGGTTATTTCCACCCCTGAAACTGCATCACACAGAAAACCATTTTGTTCAGAAAATTCATAGAACTAAGTAAAAATTATATCAGTCAAAAAATAATAACATGTCATCTTAATTGGGCAAATTATATGTGTAAGCACTGTAGAGGTTTACAAAACAAGGATAAAATCAATTTAAGTTAGAATTTCAAGACTCCAACATCGTTTCTATTCTTCTTGGACATCTCACACGAACTATGGAACTTGATTATACTTATTCTACTTTCACCAGAAAGTTATCGCTATGTGTAGAGAATGGCCACTATACTGCAAATCAGGAATAAACACCATTCAGAGGAATCCCATGTTGAGCAGGAGAGGTGAAGAGCCAGACACCATCATACAGCACTATCTGGTGAAATGGATCCCTTCTCAAACCTAAGCTATCAAGTGAAGCTGTAACCAGGCCTGTCCCGGAACATAAACAACACAGGCGCTTGTGTTGGGGGGGCTGACCTATTGTTCTAAGCTCTTAGGTTACCATGGCCACATAGACAAGGGTTTCTATCAGGAAAGGCCAGGCCCATGTTGTGGTCGCCCTTCCATCCCACTGATGCAGGAACTGGGAGCGTGAGGAGGTTTGGTCACATCCATCATCCTTGTTTATTTGGTTTGGTTTAACCAGCCAAACTGGCATTGGGGTCAAGGTGGATTTGATATATTGTGTATTGTACCAGATAACATTTGACCTTTCATTATTTATTTGTTTACTTCTGGAAGGCAGTTTCTATAGCCATGTCAGGTAAATATCATTTTACAAGCCAAAAGACCAGTGAGATTATTGAGATAATGCCAAACATTCGGTGAACATTACAATATGGTGACAATTAGGTTACAACAGTAGGTGGGGGGATTAACAAAACATAGCTAGTACCGGGGATGCTTTACAGTAATCAGGCACTTTCTGACTGGGATCCGCCCCATGTCATAGATAACCTACCAGCACATGCAAGGTGAAAGTCTCTGAATATTTACTCAGGACATTGCACTTGGGACAATCATTAGAATCATCATTTATACAGTGAAGGCAAATAATAAAAAAATATGTTGGCATTATCATTTACATTTAGGACAGCCTATCTAAGTAAACTAATCAAATCTTAAATCACAAGATGGGTACCATATGGGCATTATTGGGGAACAAACATATTTGGGCAGTCTGTGCCAAAGACATGTGAGACTATCAGCCTGACTTGGCAGGTATACCGAAAATGAAGACATAAAAATATCCTAAACAGAACAATATCATCATTTCTTTCCCTACTTGCCAGACACAGGCACTTAGTTTAGAATCCTAGAAATTGGCTCCTTGTCTAGACACATGCTTTTCTGTAGATACTTGACTGTTTGGAGGTGAGCCACCTGGACCAAGAACTTTACTCAACTTCAAACTAGTGTCTACATGGCAGCTTGAGTTTGATGATCAGTTTGACAGCTGACCAGTGGCAACATGACAACTACAACTATATTATATAAAATATGAGTAACCAACATTCATATAAGACACATATGCTCAACTTTACAATGATGTATTTCATGATAACTGATATCAGTCTCATTAAATTAAATACGTTTTAGCTACCCTGTACAGATTCAAATTCAACACACTATTTGGATACTTTGAAACTGCAGTATGTCCTCGTGGTCCAGTTGCCTGTAAATCCTAAACACTTAAAATAGAAGTTTGGGTTTAACTGGCTGACTGACTGAGTTTAGTTTTAACGCTGCTTTTAGCAATATTCCAGCAATATCAAGGCGGGGACACCAGAAATAGGCTTCACACATTGTGCCCATGTGGGGAATCGAACCCGGGTCTTCGTCGTGACGAGCCAACACTTTAACCACTAGGCTACCCCACCGCCCCTTTGGGTTTAACTAACATATGTATGGAATTATCTCTAACTTCTGAGAGTTACAGATAACTTTTGGTCATCGAGTTATGTATTTGCTTGTGTTCATCTCAACTGGGTATCCTAATTTTCCTTTGAGTAACCTAATAAATTATACCCTCCGCACTGAGACTCATTTGGGCATCTTGCCATTTTCCATTCATTGCGAAATGTCTAAATGTTGGTGTACGTGTTTGTTATTTATATTTGATCTGTAATATGAAAACGATAAGAAAGACTGCATGTTGCCAAGTTCATGTGTTGAAATAGAACCTCTCATTCTCAGTTCATCTATCCATCGGTACGCAAGCTAAGATTTGACATTTTTTGTGCGTAGGCATATAAGATCACATATAATGAGTATTTACAAAAATTCAAGCGTACTTGTACGCAATAGACATAATAGGAATTGAGTTTTCAAATAAATATTTGCATAATTACGCAGATACGCGCAGCTTATCTGTACCTCTGTATGCGGCTACTGGCAGCTGACAAGATCTTGTATTTGCAATGATCAGTCCCATTATTATACAGTTGTTAACAAGGTGATCACAAAGTGGTCCACCCATCAACCTGATTTACCCCACAAAGTACAGCGTTAAAAGGAACATAAATTCATGTCCACTGAAGCTTCACATTTCCCACCTTTATGGTGAGTAACTCTGTCCAGGCATTGGAAAACAGTTCACATCTCCTTAAGTCACATACTACTTTTTGTGTTAACTGTCAGTACATCAGAATACAGCTAGGAAACCAGATAAAAATTCTGAGGGGTGAAAATCAACAAAACTGGCCTCAGTAAAGCTAAATGATAATATCACACCAGTATTGCATACATAATATCACTGTCAAGAAGCATATAACTATGGTTACATTGGGACATTGTCCATCACTGGAGGTTTATCATATTCAGTTCGTTTTCAAGCTCTGTACCTTAATTAGGGGCAGCAAGTTTGATGATTTTGAAAACAAATTCTTAAACATTTTACAATTTAATGTTTGAAAATGCTGTCAGATATTGATGCATCGATAATATTCTCAAACGGTAACCTATGTGATACACACTTATCTGCATCAGTTCATATATTAATCATGTGTTAATTCACATTTACATCTTGTATCGGTGCACACATTCAAAACAGCAATGGAATGACATTGTTTGCTGAATGGAATATATCCACATTTTAACAAACAATAATAACATTATTACTTATGCTTCTTCTACACTGTACCATGTACATAGGTTTATTCTGGATTAGTCCTTATTGATAATGACACTCAAGTTATGCCTGAAATAAAGACTTCAGTATAGATTGAACTGATTCATTCTCATTTTCAAATCTTCAGATTTTCAGGAAGTTTCAATCCTTTCTGATACTGTTTATGCCATATGAAATTTTAAAATCCTTGCAAAATTGCAGCAAATTAAGTTCTTAAGGAATAGGCATTATCATAAAGCAATGTAACGTAAATTAACAGAAAATATAACAGTCCTATGATCTATACTCTGCCACTCTATATATTAATAAATAAATGCCAAATCCCCAACATAAATATTATGAATTGGGATATAATTTATTCCAGTTTGGGAGATTTAATTGACATTTCTTCAAGACTTGGGGCTGAATATGTGAGTGGGTAGACAGTAGATAAATCCCTGCCTTAAGACATTTGCTAGTCAAGTGCTGTCTTCCTAGTCTAACAATAGCATCCTGTTATCCTGCATGAATATCAAGAACATAACCATGACAACAGAACTGACAAAAAGATGATGAAGATGATTATGACCATGACAACTTGCAAAAAAGAGAAATTAAAAACACAAATCCACAAGAATTTCTTTTCATGCAACTGTCTTAGAACTATACCACAAAATAGAGATCAGTGTGGATAAACACATTGCAGAACTTACCCTCTCATAATGCAAGGCAACAGGAGATTTAGGATGTCCCAGTTCAGAGAAGCCGTGGGGGTGTTGTCCAGGTCGAGGGGGACTTGTCTGAACTCCATTGTGAAACTGGTGGCGGTCATTGGGGGCACCCCTCCCATCTGGTTGATCGTATCTACTATTTTGTTGTGGCATATCCCTTGGACGATTTCGTTGTTCAAATGAACTATTATAAGGATCACTGCCGTAAGAATTATTCAGTCCTCTGTCATATTCATTTGGACCATTCTGGCGACGTTCCAATGTCCCGCCCTGAGAATAGTCTCTGGGGTCACGCTGTGGGCCTCGCTGATCTGGATGAACAAATCGGGGATCCCTTGGATCTCTTGGGTCCCTGGGATCTCCCCGATATTCCCCGAGGATCACGCATTTCTCGTCGTGGATCTCTAGGATCCATCCCAGGAGGGTATCGATCATCTCTTGGATCCCGTTCATGCATATTGCGGCCATATTCACGGGGGTCACCTCTGTATTCTCTGGGAGAATAGTCCCTGTTCTGACCATTTTGATCCCTTGGGTATCCTGGGTGTCCTGGTGGGTACTCGTTGAACCTCCCAGGTGACGTTTCATCTTCAGGTACAGGTGGGTGGTCTGCATTTGGCTTAAAGTTCCTTCTGTATGGTGGTGGGCTTTCTCTTCGCAAGGAGTTCGACCTTGCCACACTGATACCCCGTCCTGGCTGTAGGAAACCATTTAGATCTGCTTGTGAATGACCTCGAATAATAGCTTGTGACTGAAAATAAAATCAAAATATATGAGAATACATGGGCATAATCTCAAACAAAGTAAGGTGGCTGAGGAAATAGGGTTTAATGTAGCATTCCAGGTTATTACACTTTCTGCATCACGCAAACACAATCGAGTATGACGCCTTCCATTATCCCGGACTAACGCCCATTTTGTAGTGCCAGCCCACTGACATACCATACTGTTGTCTGACATGGATACCCCAGTCTGACCCATTAGTTTTGTCCTGTGGTGAGTGAGTGAGTTTAGTTTTACGCCGCACTCAGCAATATTCCAGCTATATGGCGGCGGTCTGTAAATAATCGAGTCTGGACCAGACAATCCAGTGATCAACAACATGAGCATTGATCTGCGCAATTGGGAACCGATGATAGGTGTCAACCAAGTCAGCGAGCTTGACCACCCTATCCAGTTAGTCGCCTCTTACGACAAGCATGGGTTACTGAAGATCAATATTCTAACCGGACCAGTTTTGTCCTGTAAATCCTGATCATAAGGCAAAAGGTAACAACAAATACCATCATTTAACATCTTTCCTCTGTCCTTACAAACTCTACATCCATTGGGCAACAGAGGCTGTCTATGACAAATAAGACAGCACAAACAGGAAGTATGTCAGCACCTTAAAAGTTTATGGCTGTCAGGACAATAAGTTCAACCTTCTGGTTTGCAAGTGAACCGTGGCGAAGAGAGAAAACCCACAAAGACAGTAATCACAAAATATTGTAACCGGTGACAGTGTGTATTGTAGCCCATCTGTAACTCTGTTGACACTTAATGACATGTCATTAGAAAGGAATTTTGACTACAAAATCATTGTAATGACGTACAAGTGTCTCAACGGAATGGCCCCTGACTACCCCGCAGAGTTATTGCCCCTGTATCAGTCCTCACGCTCACTGGGATTACAAAACCAAATGCTAGTGACAGTGCCAAACAACAAAACCAACTTTGGCAAAAAGTCGTTGGCTTTCAATGCAGCAATCAAGTGGAATCCAACGACGCTTGAACTCAAAACCAGTGTCACTAACATCTTTTAAGACTGCCCTCAAAACATATATATTCAAGTGTCAATTCCCATCTTAAGCGCACAGAGCATACTAGTGAATGATGTGCTATATAAATGCAAATATTATTATTATTATCATTTTAAGTTCCTTATTAATTTATGAAAAGAAAAATGTGGGTCCAGGATAAAAAAATAATAATTAATGGCTAAGTTATGACTACACTTCACACAAATAATAAAACAAAGTGGCACCCAAAATACCACTGGAACTACTTTTGTAACTAGAATATTTATCAAAGTACACCCAGTAATCTTTCAAATATGAATTTTTAAGTCCATAAAGCAACAGGCATAAAGACTTGTCGAGTGGATAAAACTGTTTTTCACACTTAACATTTTGTATTACCTGATACCTCATATCAGATGTGGTGTATGAGAAATATAACTTACATTGATAAGACTTAGTGTATTCTACCACCATAATTACAGTTCACAATTGTTAATTTAACAAGAAATGACAACACCAAATGCCAAGTAGTGTTCAGTATCAATGGGGTCATTGAACCCTTTGACCTTTGAAGACTTGGTTTTATCAAGAGTTGTTAAGTCTCTAGTAGCTTGTCATGCTTGAACGAGTCAGAAATGGTAACGACATTTAATTTTTTTATGAATTTAGTTCCAAATTGAACCAAAATTCAAGAAATTGAAAACTGCTTTAGAGTTTAGCCTACTTTGCGACTTTGTCAATGAGTGAGTGAATATGGATTTACGTCCCTTTTAGCAATATTCCAGCAATATCCTAGCAGGGGACACCAGAAATGGGCTTCACACATTGTACCCATGTGGGGAATCGAACTCGGGTCTTACGCATGACATGCGAAGCTTGTCGATGAGGAACCTCATCATTGAATTTTTACTTGTCCTCAGCACAGTTGAGTCCATGATATTGGACAAACACTAATCTTGAAGGCCGCTCCCACAGATGAGCCTAATTTGTAGTGCAAGAAAATGCATTCGTATCAAAGGCGTCAGCTTGTCTAACATGTCTAAAGGTTACACTTTTTTCGGTGGTAAATAAACAGACATTGTATTGCTTCATGTAAATGAAATAGGTATTTGAGCCTTTGGACATATAATGACAGCATTACTTTCACATTACACTGTACACGAACTGTCAGGGTTTTACGGGACGCATGATTCCTGCGTATTGGATGCAGAAATTTGGTGAAGTACCCCCAAACTAAAATCCTGTGCATCCTTGTGGACACAATATATTTTTTTCTGGGAAAGGTGAGGTGAGGTGAAATTGGGTTTTACGTCATGCTTGAGAATATTACATATGACGACGTGCATGCGTGTGTATGTGTATGTGCGGCTGCTTGTACTAGCCCAGACTTAAGATGGTTTTATAGTGCTAGCCCACTGAAATACTGTGCTGCAGTGAAGCATGAATACCCAACTCAGACACATTACACTGACTCCCGAGCCGACCAGTCCTTGTTGTACCCATTAATGCTGAGCGACAGGCAGGGACCAACAAGTACCATATTTTACCGTCTTTTGGTATGACACGGTCGGGGATCGAACTCACGACCTTCGCCCTCCGGGCGGACGCTTTAACCACTACACCACGGAGGCGGTCTTTCTGGGAAAGAACTTTCTGAGTTTTTAATGATATCCCATGTGAAAATATATACATATATATTTACAATCTGAAATCATTATTCCAATGACATTGAAAGTAACACATATATCATACCATAATCATTATCAAATGGGAAGCATCCATTATCATTGATTTCATAGTCATACACATTGATGGACCCCCAATTTCTCAGTTTCGAAGAGCTATGTAAAACCCTGACTGTGATCATGTGAGTTACCTTGAGTGGTTCTATGTCTGTGTGTGTGATACTGGACGGGTCCACTATTGGCCTTGGCCGCTCCTTCTCCACCCCGATGATGCCTGTCCACTGGGCCGGTAGACCAAAGAAAACACCATGTTCACTGTCAAAGCCAGTGTGGACACGGTGCTCAAAATTTATTGGGTCCGATATTGCAGGCTTTTTCTTCTTGGATTTGAACATGATTATGATCAATAATCAAGTGTCCTGAAAAAAGAAATACAAAAATGAAATAATTACTAGGATATGAATGAATACATTGTAAGTGATTCCAAGGCATTTTGTTGGCTAACCAAGCAATTTATTTAGCATCTTTCATGTTTATTTTTCCATAATCAAAACAAAAACAGACCATACCAGTACATTATTTACAATCTCTGCTCAGAGTCTTCTACTAATATACCTCCAAAACTCAAAAGATATTAACCTAGATGGAAATTTGCACTAGCCATGACCAATTTTATCAGTGATAAAAAGTATCCAAAGGACATCTTATCTTTTTATATGTGTTACCACAATTCGACTAACCCGACTTGCTAATGCTCTTGGTTAATTTCCATCCCCGACTGAATTCAGTTCTTAAATGGTACTAACCCATACAAGATCATTTATTTGATCATGTTTATCCTGGTGGTTGGCACTGGGATAAATCTATCATCACAGAACACATGGCAATCTCCCACATCAATACATATTCGATCTCAACTCATAGATCATTATATATTGATGAGTTTCAATGTATCCCATATGCTCTACAGGTCACAAAATTATATAGTATCTTTTGTATAGTGGCTTCTTAGTATTGAGTATTAATACTCCCAACACACATGCTACAATTTGTGCCTTTATCATCACTACTCATGTTGATATTGACCATGTACACTGTGGCCTCAAAATATGAAAACAATTAGGGCAACATCCATCTTGATTATAAGAGTGTGACTATTTTGGGATATATTGGTTTAGTGCTAAAACAGAAAGGAGCCACTAACTGGAAATTCTAGTTGGATAAAATAACCCAAAGGTATTACCATATAATGATCTATGAATTGATGATTATATTAATGCATTTGTATCTACATATAAAAATAACCTTTAAGCAGAGCTCCAGATAAGATTTAGCTCATGTGGGTACTGTACCCACTGTATCTTTTTTGGAGTGGGTATTATGAATGTTGAGTGGGTATTTCATTTTCCGTTACCCACTGCTTTCTAATATGTGCTTATTTCAGTCATTTTACTCACCTAAGTATTATGTCATTGAGTAAGTTTACTAAGCAGGTATGTTCTGCCTTATGTCATACCTAATCAAAACCAACTTAAATATAATGGAAATCACTCATCCTATACTGACAGTACAACACTTGCCCTATACTAAAGTACTGTCGGAAATGCTAGAAAAATGCTTTTTGACTTATATTTAAAATTCAGAGGTATTACAGTTACTTAAATAACAAATATCACTTCAAGAAACATCTACCTAATGTAGACCGAGGGAATAAATTTTGAGACATGCTCTAAAATGTGTTTTTACTCATGAAAATACCAAAAACTAAGACAAATAAGGGGTAGTTGGACGTTATTTGAAACAAACATTAAGTGCCTGTGTTACGTCATCAGCATGCACGGTATCGACAGGTGAAATTGACACCTGAGCACACGCTCGGGCGAGGGGTCATCTCAATAGATGTTTTCTTCAAAATGTTGAATATGTGTACGTATAGTATACGTATCGGTTATGTAAGGGATCATTTGTGTATGTGTGCATGTGTGTTTGTTTGAAATAAACATACGGTTACTGTACATTGGAAAGAATCCTATCACTTGTGTTATCTTATCGATTGATTGTAGAAATGTGCAACGTTTTAATAAATGTTTTGCATGTCAACAGTATATTTCAATGAAAAAATATGGATGTAATTCGGTCAGTTTAATCTAGTTGTGAACATTGGCCAAAGATTTAACGAAGTCACTGGTGTAGCTTCCTTAGAATATATATATTTTTCTTCTCATAAATTTGTAGACCGCCCGTCTAAGCACTCCCTTGTCAAAGTTGTCAAGGATGGTTTTATGTCTCGGTTTTGCATTTGAGACGGTCCCTGTCTTGTCTGATTTGTTTACAATATTGTAAACTTGTTGGTAAGACATGCCAACAGCTCTACAAGTTCTGTAATAAACCCTTTCTAAGTTAATGAAAGGTTTACCTCTGTCTTTTTTAAGCAGAAAAAAACTATAAACCTTTGCAACAATCGACTGCAAATCGTTGGCCATAGTGGACGCTGTGATAAAGATGTGCATGCATGACGGAAAACTTATTTATCAAGACTTAACATTTATATTAATATTTCTTCAATAAAGAAAACGATAATTAAGTAAAGTAACACAAACATTCAACATTTATTTGTTTAGGAAAAAACGTTAATTCATATTTTTACACCACCTGTATTATTAGCATAAATGTAAAGACTATTTCAGATTTCTGTTGTTGAACTCTGAAAAAATCTTAAGTTGCTGTTTTGGTACCAAATTCTCTCCTGTAAACTGCCCTTGAAATGCATGGGAATGTAAAATCAATTGAAATAAAAATTAGGTAGACAATAGGCGAGTTGATATATTGACAACATAGTACATTTATCACCTTTATAAAGATATTAAGGCTAAAAAGCATTTTTCTAGCATTTCCGACAGTACTTTAACAGTACAACTTGATAGCAATCAATGTCATTTTCATACCCAAGCGATTTTTATAAATATATTCCGTACGCACTTGTTTTAAACTTTTTGCGTATCTAACATTTTAAATGCGTAATTGGTACGCAACAATTATTTTTCAATGCGTAAATGGGAATTTTCTATGCGTATTTTACCCGGATACGCAGCTTATCTGGGCCTCTGCCTTTAAGGACTTCATTTGACCAATATCTAATTTAAGTGAACCAGAATGGTCAATTAAAAGTATCTGTGGCAATTAGTTGCTAATTCAGTATCGATACACATTCATCTATTGTACTACATCGTCACAATAACATATGCAACCCGTACCAAAACAGTCTTTACATGTGATGATAAATAAAAAAACAATCACAATTAGCATTTCTTTTGTATGTTTGTATTTTAACACTGTACTCCACAATTTTCCAGCTATTTGACAGTGGTCTGTAAATAATTGAATCTTGACCAGACAATCTGGTGATTAATAGAGCTGGTAATTGTTATATTTTGACTTGTATACACTCGTCTTTGCCATTGGTTGCCTCTTTAAGTCTTATAAACATGATAAAACACAAGGGTTGCTGAAGACCATTCTAACATAGACCTTCACCTACCTGAGCACTAAACATCACAGTTACAATACAGATCTTCCTGCACGGACAGTTAAGGAAGCAAACAACGAAGATTACTTGAAATAGTTGATCACGCTGTTAGCGATTAATGCCGACTTCCTTCTTTCATGACAAGTAGCTGACATAACAATACCTTCCTACTTGATAATGACTATTAGTGACAAACATGGACATATTACAGTGATCATTTGCATCAGGATGGTGTAAATGATCATGAAAATTAAAATTAGGGTGATGAAACATTCAACAAATGAATCAAAAACTATGTAAACAACAACCTAACACACGTGTGCAAAAAATCAAATCCCCATGATCAACAGGCACTATGTTTGACAAGTGCTTTGTTTGTTATATAATGTCACACTCAGCAATATTCTAGTCACAGGACAGCAGCATGTAAATAATTGAGTCAGACAATTCATTATCTGCACAATTTGTATATGAGGAGATGTATGTCTATCTCTTTGTTTTAAGAAGAACAATTCTAACCTGGATTTTCAAGGGGACTAAACATTATGAGTGAGTGAGTTAACATTTTAAGTCACATCACCAATATTTCAGCCATATCGTGACTAAATCAAGTTATAAATATATTAACAATTAAAGGTAAATTATAAAATTCTGTCAACGAAGGACAGAAAACAACTAGATTATCACAGATATAAATATAAAACTAGTAATTGAATGGGCTTCACACATTGTACCCATGTGGGGATTCGAACCCGGGTCTTCGGCGTGACGAGCCAACGCTTTAACCACTAGGCTACCCCACCGCCCCTAAACATTATGAAGATACCTTAGCATCAGTAACAATATAAGACTCTTATCACCACATCTTTACTTAATATGAGAGGAAAACCTGATATTAAGCATGTTGTGGATGCGTTAATGTAAAAGGAGCAACAAAAAAGCTACAGTTTCCATTTCAGGAATACACAGACTTACTGTACAGAATGATCACGGCAGATCATATGGCAAAGTATTTGTTCTTTGTCATCTTTATTAATTATTATAAAACTTAAGTTTTGTTATGTTTAACAAGGATATGACTTTATGTTGCCTGACATTACAAATCATGCACTGTACTGTAAACGTATTATATTTCGCGCAGGTTTTATTTTCGCGCTTTTCGCACAAAACATTTTAGAGCAAAAATTTATACACCGCGAATAAACCTGTCATTCATTCAGTCTAGCCACGCTCGCCCCTGAGTAGTTACCATAACACATCACGTTTGAAGACAGAAATCAACGGGAATCTTAAAATGACGACTGATAATACTTAACTGTCGCTGTAATGGATTTCCCAAAACATAATTAAATAATGAGCCAAATCCCATTGCCGAATTAGCGAAAACAGCAATGTGTGTTGTGGCCGCCATGGAAATTGGTCACATGACAGATGGTTTGATACAAAACAGATTACCGTGAAACGACTCGGAAAGAAATAATACAGCAGTATTTTATTTATTCATTAAGATTTTATTCACCAGTACATCATGAAGCGAATAGTCACTAACACTCAATCATCTCATTCACAACAACCCGGCTTGTTTGAAATCACAAAGAGCTTCATATACAGTATAAGTTAATTCGTCAAATCGTCAGAATTCGCGGAACATAAGACTGATGTGTTTTTCATCTCTTCCGGCGGCCAAAGAGACAGCTGGCAGTTCCGGCAATTACTGATTGCGCGAATAATTGACCGCGCGATGTAGTCTAAACTGTCAATTCCGCGAAAATTGCACCGCGCGAAAATAAGTACGTTTACAGTATTTGAAAATATTGTCAGAGAAGTCAAACGTTAAATGATTTAGACAAACATTTCAATATCTCCATATCTAGAAATATCTCTGGGTCAAATTTGTTACTGGTAGAGCTCACTTGCCTGAAGCAATCATCCTAGTTCTAGATACATCCCTTGGGCATGTTGGGGAATACTAATTACTAATAGCCTACATATTGGGTAGGACCATCTCCGTGGTGTAGTGGTTAGAGCGTCCACCCGGAGAGCGGTCTTGTTGGTCCCTGCCTGGCGCTCGGCATTAATGGGTACATCAAGGACTGGTCGGCTCGGGAGTCAGTATAATGTGTCTGAGTGGGGTATTCATGCTTCACTGCGGCATGGTATCTCAGTGGGCTAGCACTATAAAACCAGCTTCAGTCTGGGCTAGTACAAGCAGCCGCACCTACACATACACACGCATACACGTTGTCATATGAGCGAAATATTCTCAAGCACGACATGAAACCCAATTTCACCTCACCTCACCTCACATATTTGGTAGAATCCTGTTTCCTATCACCATCTGACCTTAAAAAGCATAATGGCCATCTTTCCTCTTTCTGTTCTCCTTGCAAAGTTTGGTTCTGATTGCATATTACTTTACATTAAAAAGTTGTGCATTTTGGTGTGATTTATCCTGATGAGCAGTTAAGTTCATGACACCCAATATTTAAACTTTGCAACTTCCGTGTGTAATTCTTCAAATTAGCATGTGAAGCTTCAATAAAATATCAGAAGACTATATCAGAAAACACTATGAAAAATTGATAATTTGAGAGAATACTACAGCCAGATGGGACACTAATTGGCATATGTAGATAGCAAGTTCTAGTGACATCAATTTTTAACTCCTGCTTGAAAATTGGCCATTGATCCAATATCCATAGAACTCAATAGAACTAAAACTGAATTATCAAAATGTAGACAATTTCAGAGGACACTGATATCTTGTTACTGTCCACAGCTGGCAACTTGTGCTACATTTGTATTACAACGATTAGGCTCCCCCCACCGCCCCTTTACTGCATAGAATGATGATGATAAATGAAAAGATTTCAGACAATGTATTTTAATTTGAAGCAGTGGGGCTATCGTGTTCAAGATTATTGCACAGTGACGTACATGGAAGTGTCTTGTTCAGAGTATTACAGTTTTATGGTGTCAAACCACTAAGATACCATGCCGCAGCATAACATGGATACCCCACCAAGACACAGTACCCAGACTCTTAACCGACCTGTCTCTATTTATCCCCTTGACACGAAAGTCCAAGCAGGGTAACCACGAGCATCAACTTTTGGTAAACAGAGGCCAGGGATCAAATCATGGACTTTCCGTGATCATCTCCGTGAAGATGCAGAAAAAAACATCCACTGGACCATGGTGATGGTTTTCTTATAATATGAGGGGAATTTAATTATGAACCAATAAAGTTGCTCACATTTAGAGTGAGCGAATGAGCGAGTTTAAATTTACGCCACTTTTAGCAATATTCCAGAAATATCAGGATGGGATGACACTAGAAAAGGGCTTCACCGATTGTATCCACGTGGGGAATCGAACTGGAATCTTTGGCAAGATGAGCAAACACTTGAGCCACAAGGCTACCCAACTGTCCCACTGGCATTTAGAAAATTACTTGTATTGTACACACATGTATACAAAGGTTAATTAAGTTTACAGACGCTGGCAGAATACTAGTCAAAGGGAAGTAAATATTCATAAAGTGACAGCACCTCTGCAGCAACAAAAAATCTGTAGTTGGGGAAAGGTCATAAAAATTGCACAACTATCAGTCAACATACCAGCACTGTAATGTATGACATCCAAGGTAAATAGCATACCATACATGTGGCATCACCAGTTCATTCAGGTGTGAAATAAACACCTGCCAGGAGCTGTACTGCTAATTATGTAAGTAAAGATGACCCCAATTATTACGTATTATCAACATGCAGTAACAGCTGATATCTGTATCAGATACTCTGGTGCCACTACTGCACATGGTTATACATTGTTAGATATGGCAACTTCCCCTAGACAACAGAAATGCTATCATCACCTTTATCAGATTGACCCTTAGCATGGTTGCTAACTATTTAAATATAACTCATGGTTTCGACATACGTGAAAATACTGTCATCATCATAGATATCGCTCCATGTGTATCTCATTGACACTGCTGGGATCGTATATTAAACCATAATCAGTAAGTAGTCAACAAGAAGATTGAAAAAGATACACTACCAAATCTGGTAAAGCAAGCGATTTGACCTGAAAAGGACAGATTCCATTAAGATCTACAGTGAAATGAGGACACGCAGATGTGCACTGAAGACAATGTAACAGTTATCACACATAACTTGTCAAAGGACAAGAGAAATTATGTATACAGTCATGGATAGCCCCATATATGTTTGCATTGCTTACTTGATGTCGAAATACCTCACAAAAGTATTTTACTTCAATTTCTTGTGAAAACACATGTACAAAAAATATTTGTTTGAAAAAATTAGATCTGCATCTGGTTTAAAAATTTAAAACAAACAACAGGAAAGACCCACCAAACAAAACGGTATCACCTTGTTGTAAGGCTTGATGCTAAAGTTAGTCAATTTCTAAGTAATTTTATACCTTCAATCCAAGCAGGAATTACTGTTTGAACAACAAAAACTAAAATACTTCTTTGGTGACTAAATCTGAAGGAAGGTAACGTGTGTGGGCGTGGCACAAGGGACATCCCTGTGTGATTCAACTCGGCCCAAAAAATCGATTGGAATGATCATTGCGTTCAACAGGTAAACACGCGTAAACAAGCCAGTAGATTAACACCGATGTCAGCATGAATATTCATTAAATTTTACTCAGCAGGTAATAAAGATGCCGGGTGTGTTAGCGGGAGAGTAATTACCCCACGCTGGGAACAGTTCTCAAGTTCACTTGATGAGGGCAGGGTCACCGAAGTTTGGGTATTCAAGCACACCGGTTCAGATTTGAGAAAACACAGAGGAGAGCTGACCGACATGTGCTTGTTTGACTGCACAATGCACACTGAAACGTGTATTTACACACAGTAGAAGTGTTAATACTTATTAACAAATAAGTAATAGTGTCCAAATATGGCTAAAATAACCAACTGAAGCCAGGTACAATGTTACGAGCACACAGCTCGGAAGTGAAGTTCTCGATGTTATGATTTAAGAAATGAGGACACAGCTAAAATGTCAAAGGTGTCCTACCTCTACAAGTAATCGGACTGTGGTAATTTGCACTTAGAAAGATCGAATAATTTTACAAATATTAATGCAGAGAAAATCAGCGCACACTCACCAAAAGAAGAAAATCTTACAGGTAATATCTCCACATTCGCTGCTACAGCTTCGACGCCATATTTTTAGGGCACTTGTTACATACGGGCATTTGAAGTATTTCGCCGCCAGGTGGCGCGGAGGATTAACTTGGGAAGTCCCTGGGGCGCAAATAAATTGTAACACGGGCATCGTTTCAAAATGAAATAAATTTTTGAAAACAGCATTTATTATTATAATTTATAAAAACGTCAGATTCCATTCCTATCGAATTAATCAATGAAATAGACGTGTATATCAAGGATTATGAAGAGCTTATATTTCCTGATGTGACTGAAACATTTTTCTTCAGTTTTAATAAAACTGGTCCAGATTTCACGTCCCACAGAACGCAATTTACAGGTACAATGTCACTCGCTCAAAATGAATACTGTGAAGTTTATAACAAAATAAGGCCCATAATAACACTAAAAGGGTACTGTTTATATACTTTTTATGTCACATTGATATATCAATTGTAGAACGTCAGTATTACATGTAAAATACCACCTTTTTATACAAGACATTCACATATTTGGTACAAATGTAATTTTTTCGGAATTTTTCCAAGCCCATAAAGTTTTCATGAATGTTTATATTGTGAATAAATGTAATCCAAAGGCTCCTCACGATATATTTGTGTGATATATGTCAAACCACAAACGCCCTCTTACATAACTAATTTGTCAGTCTACTTGAAGGTTTGTTAATTTATGCAACATATTCCAGCTGTATCAATTCGATCTGAGATCGAATCTGGACCAGTCATGCCAATGATTGATATTATGATCACTGGCCCAGTACGTCGACATGCAATCAAACAAGCCACACGGCCACGTCATCGCTCTTAAAAGCAAGAGGTTTGTTACATATTATTGATAGAGGGTGAAATAATCCATCCTGTTGAAAAGATTTTATAGCAGAAGAAAACGTAGGCCTACTTCTAAATAAAGCAATATCGTGCAAAAGCAAGAAATCCGTTTTTGAATGATTTCCAAAAAAGTAGTGAGGTTTGAAATCGTATTAGCATTTGGTGTATCTAGGAGGCTGTTGCCATGGTAATTAACCGGCGGGCGTCTTACTGTGTGGCTGCACTACCACGAGCTATTTGAATGATGTTTTTTCCGTTTGTTATGAAGTGTCAGCTGTTGACTTTTAAAACTCAAGTAGAAACACAACCTGCATCAGCTGACATTTCTTTCACTTGTTGTGTACAATCCGTTTAAATGTTTCCCGAAGCACTATGTTTGACAACTAACTAAGAAATCTTACCTGTTGCTATTTAATGCTTTTGTTTTTGTGAAAGCTGAGGTGAAGACCTATGTATTGTATACTAGTGTGTTTCAGATCCGTCAGACGAACAGTGTACTAGTTATTACTGAGGAAAATAAACAGAAACAAAATAATATACGTGGAACAAGACGGACCATACTCAAACACAAATAGGAAATTAAAATAAATCAGAAACGCCGCTTGTAATGTTGTTGCAATTATCATGCTGTTGTTTCCAACTCGTCCCCATATATGTCATTATTCGAACTGGAATCTTCACTCTTTCCAGCAGTCGTTTATAGTACCGTGCTACTCTTCAGTCTCCCGTTAAGTGAATGTTATTTTACGTCTCTCAGGTCACCTCTATTGCGGCGGACAATAATTTGAATAAACATGTAGGGCCTAGATTTTCGAAGCTCTCTTAGCGCTAAGATAGTCGTAAGTTAATGCTAATGTAAGGCTCTTACGACTATCTGATATTCAATGGTAAGTGGACAAGCCACATGGCCGACACTATCGTCTCATCGGGAACCTGTAGTTCAGCCTGATTCTTGTCTTGCCTTGATGAGGTGGTTCGCTGTTCATGATGTCGACCACCTGCCAACCTGGCCCCGACCCAGGGCCTAGATTTTCAAAGCTCTCTAAGCGCTAAGATAGTCGTAAGTTAATGCTAATGTAAGGCTCTTACGACTATCTTAGCGCTTAGAGAGCTTTGAAAATCTAGGCCCTGGGTCGGGGCCAGGTTGGCAGGTGGTCGACATCATGAACAGCGAACCACCTCATCAAGGCAAGACAAGAATCAGGCTGAACTACAGGTTCCCGATGAGACGATAGTGTCGGCCATGTGGCTTGTCCACTTGCATCAACGCATCTTACCATTGAATATCACTTGTTTTGTCCGTAATTTGATCGTGGATTCATTGGAAAAACACGTTCCTCTTCACTCTGTTCCCCTTACTGTATTACATGCTTGTTACTTCACGTATGTTAGATCACGCTTGTGTCATGAGGATATAAAGATACATTTGAATTAAACACACGCGATTTAGTAGGAACCAGTGTCAGGTTTTCCTTTGACACTTTTTGACATTCATCTATTAATTTAATCAACTGAATATATACATAAACTGGATAAAGAGTTTTGCTATTGTATTTAGGGATAGGGAATGAGTGCATAAGAGGTTTCTTTTTTCTGTGAATGATCGATCGAGACTCAAACTACGTCAACATGACGTCGCCATGGGCGGATCCAGGAATTTTGAAGGGGGGGGGGTCGAACCCCCTGAACCCCCCATTGGCTCCACCAACGCAAAAAAAATCTTCAATGTGGTCTTAAGCCATTTTCACAAGGGGGTCGACCCCCTCACACCCCACACCCACACCCCACCCCTGGATCCGCCAATGGTCACAATTGACGGGCCACAACGTCCTCCACAACTGTGACGTCAGCCGTTTGTATTAGAATATTGGCGTCAGCATTGCTTCTACAAGCGCGTCTTCGTTTCGTCAGCAATGCTATTAGGACTCGTGGAATCATTATTGCCATTGGACACAACGTTATTGTCATACAAATTAGTGAGCGCTGCAATCTTAATGGTTGAAAAATGTGATGAAATCTGATTGAAGCCATAAAATCATTACTTTCCACTGCATTGGACTTTTTTTTCTCAATCCCCAATAAGCGAAATGCCTGTCGCTCCCCCACGCTAATCAAATACATTTTTGTTCGTTTGTTTTTATTGATTTTTTCGTTGTCACCAGTAATGTCAGGCGATTCTAGTTATCACAGAAGCCTGTGGCGGGATCCATTGTTTCATCCCAGCGTAACGTAATGGCTGTTCATGCGTGGATAGACAATACTTCAGAACGAGACTGATTACCTATGTTTTTCACAAAGTCAATAGCATTACCGGTTCAGTGAATTTTTCGATTCTTCTAATCACCAAGAATTAACAGATCAGTATCTGTTTACATATACAGAATGTCATCAATATTTGCCTCACAATTATACTACACGGTTTAATGATAAAAATCTCCATAATACGGCAACGTTCATTATTGTTATTGTAAAGTTTGGGCACATAAAAATGGAAGAAATGAAAACTTCTTCCAACTTGATCAGACGTCTGATTATCAACATGGGGATCGTCTGCCATTCCCCGTGCAGTCACTAGGTCTTCTTAATCAGCTTGTGACGCGTAGGATCTCGATCTTTGACTTGCTGGCCAAGGTAACCAAAAATGTGTTCAGATCAGGATTTATCATTATTTTTCGGAACTGGATTTCGAATCAGTTTGAATTAATTTCCAAGTGTATGCATCATGTTTCGCAAAACTGTGAGGTGGAATATAGATTAGCTCCAGTTTCTGAGAATGCACACGAGCATCACTGAAACGTCTCTCACAATATTCGACAACCAACTGTATGGAGCGTCTGTCAGTTCTTTGTATGGCCACCATTGGCAGCAATTACTGCTCGGCACCGTCTCGGCACAGACTGGATAAGTTGACGAAGTAGCTATTATCATCGTAGGCGACTTCAATTTCCATTTTGACAACAAGGATAACCCTGACACTAAACGAATAATTAATCTTCTTGAAGTCCACAACTGTGTACAGCTCGTGTCAGAGGCAAGCCACAGAGGTGGACACACTCTGGACTGGATAGTTACCCATGATTCAGACGCGTGTGTCAGTTGTGTACCTGTATAGGATCTACAGCTCTCTGACAATTTCCATATATTTGTGAGCTTGGACCTCTCAATACCCAGTCCAAATGTGAAGATTACTCGCTGTAGGAACATGCGCTCCCTGGATATGAATACTTTTAAAGACAATTTGTGACCAGTCACTAAAACATCTGCTTGGGACTTCACACCTGAAGTTCGACAAGCGAAAAAAGACAAGAGGAAAGCAGAACGCAGATGGAAAACAAACTTTCCTGGAGATTCATCTCCAAATGCATATTTCAGCCAAAAATCACTCAACAACGGTCATCAGACAAATCAACATCTCAATTCTAAGATTGAAGCCAACGAGTCAAGTCTAAAGTTGCTGTCCAAACTTTTGTTCAGTATCTTGAGTAAACACTTTGAATCGACACTTCCGACATCTGATGACAATGAAGTAATAGCACAGACATTTTCGGATTATTTCAACAAAAAGATCCAAGAACATTCATGACAAGATTTCGTGTTCTGCGGCTATGGATGAAGCTGATATTCCTCCAAAAAATGTTTGATGGCACGCCTCTTACTCATATTGATAGTTTCACTGATATTTACCAACATTAGTGCTGATTATTAACTCTTCTACTTCATCTGGTTATGCCCCAAGTGTACTCAAGTCAGCTCTAGTTAGGCCACATCTGAAGAAATCAAGCCTTGATTAGGAGGATCAAAAAAACTACAGGCCTGTTTCAAACTTAGCATATATATCCAAACTCATTGAACGTGCAGTCTCCAGTCGTCTCATGGGCCACCTTTCCTGGCATAACCTCTATGAGGTGTTGCTATCAGCCTGCAGAGCACACCACAGCACAGAGACGGCCCTGTTGAAGATCCCGATATGACCTACGAAGTGGTATTGACATAGGACAAGTGGCCCTGCTCACATTACTTGGCCTAAGCAGTGCCTTTGACACGACTGATCACCAGAGACTCCTCAAAAGACTTGATACAGAACTTGGATTCAGCTTTATCCTGGCTGGCATCTTATCTACAGGACAGGACTCAAACCGTTGTTGTTGGTGAGTCTGTGTCAACCACATCTAGGCTTGAGTGCGGAGTCCCTCAAGGATCCGTGCTTGGTCCGATCATCTTCACCCTCTACACTGTTCCACTTGGCTTTGTTGTAGCAAACCTTAATCTTGACCACTTCTACGCAGATGACACGCAGCTGTGGAAGTTATTTCAACCAAACACAGAGTCAGCTATAGAGCGTCTCTCTGTCAGACATCAGACTGTTGCCAGAAGATATTCATGGAATTTCATCAAATGCCTTGAAATTAAATTAAGAGAAAACAGAGTCCATTCTTTTGGGACAGGCTGGAAAACACAAGCAGTGTGACATTACTACTGTGTGTGTCTGTGGAGCAACCATTCCTCTTTCTTCCACTGTCAATGATCTGGATGTTGTCATCGATCAAGATCTAAGTATGACAGAACACGTCAAATATGTTACTAAAACTTGCTACTCCCATCTCCACAATATCAAAGGCCAGACCGTTCTTACCAAAGATGCCTCAAAAAATCTCTGCCTCAGCCTAGTCATATCTTGTATGGACTACTGTAACAGCCTTTTGGCCGGATCTCCATCTTGTGTCACTGACCAACTCCAATGCATACAGAATTTAGCTGCTCGCATTACCTCCCAGATCACCAGAAAAAAGCACATCACACCAACTCTAAAGGACCTTCATTGGCTGCCCGTGAAACAAAGAATCTCCTTCAAACTATTCTGTCTCGCATACCAGTGCATGACTAACACGGCTCCAGTCTAACTCTCAGATCTTCTTCAGGCTTATGCACCATCTAGATCTCTCAGATCAGGGAATCAACACCTTCTTGTTATCCCTAAAGTCAAACAAGCTAAATATGGACACCGTGTCTTCTGTCCTGCTGATAAAAATATTTCTCCCCACATTTATTTGTATATGTTTTTTTTGAAAGATTATAACCATTTTAGAAAGTTATTCGATCTGATGACTTGAAAATTATTTCAAGGGATTTAATTGAGAGAGTGTGAAGTAGAAAATAGTGTTTTCTCCCCATCATTTCATTATATTCTTATCTATTTTCAAAGAACTCTGCTTTTAGAAGAAAACCTCAAGCGTAATAATAAGAAATTGATAAATCATAATCTGATATTGACATACTACATTTTGAAATAAGGACTGCTCCCTTTACTGACAGTCTCACCAAACAAAAATAAACATCTCTTTTTTGTTTCATACATAACTTTTCTTTAATAACTTGATTTACATTGAGTTGATGAAATGAAGCAATCATATACTTACATAATGCGCAAAACCTACATCTGCTTAAATTCGTCTGCTAGCTGCCATTTTGAGAGAGGGAGTGTTCATTATATATTTTTTTTTTTATTTAAAAAAATATATTTTGGGGTTTTCTTTTAATAAAATATTTCATGAAATAGAGAAACACACTTGGATAAAGTTAATAACCCTCAAACTTTAAATATTCAACTCTCCCATTATGACCTTCTGACCTTTTAGCAACCTTTTCCACAACCACTTTGTACAGTGCTCAAAAGTACAAGACCAGCGGGCACATGGTACCAAATGACGTTAATATGTGGTATAATCGTAGAGGACGCCCTACTGTTGTTTGTAAGCATCTAAACGCTGAGGATTCCTAGGGAGATGTGGTCGGTAGATAATATCCCATGTATAGAATTAGTACAAATGGATCGGGAGGTGAGACTTAATGACTTGGTTGACGGTGAATCTCCGAAATTCCTGGATCATTGTTAAGAAGGTCAACATTCAATTGATTGTCTGTTGGAAACACGATAATTTATGTATTTATGTGACTTAATCGGTAAGCTGCGATGTGTAAAGCAATCAAACAAACACACACACACGCGCGCGCGCGCGCACATAAGGATGGATTTTACGACTACTTCACATGGTTCGCGCTTTAGTGGGAAAATTGTACAGTTAGAAGATTATTTGCATGATATGAATAGCTTAACAGTATAGCAAGGACATCTAACTGAGATTTGCATTAGTCTTTGGACGTCAGATGACCATAGGTTTTGTTAGGTGAAAGACCAAAGCGCTTTACTGTCAATCAACACATTAATATATCGCGTGAATCTTTCTCTATTTCCAATACAATACTGCAGTCGACGTATACACTCCCAATTTTACGCCGCTTTTATCAATATTCTAGCAATATCACGGCTGGGGACACCAGAAATGTACCCATGTGTGGATCGAACTAGTGCCTTTGGCGACACGAGACCCATTGCGATTAAATGTTCACCATCAATCATATTCTGCTTGCCTGTGTAGACTTTTCAAATGCAAGGGATCACGTTATGACGCAAATCTTGCTTTTCTTATGAAGCAACAAGTCTGAACATTGTGAACTACTTAGGATAAATTGGTCTCTATTATAAATTGAGACTATGTGTAATATGTGTGACAAACCTCATGTTTATATATTTTATATTATGATGTTTTCTATAAGTAAGTAATACTGAAATGAAGAACTATGTATTTTAAGAAACCACTTTATGACAAGCTTGAATTCAGTTCACAACAGTATGTAAATACACCAATAATGATGCAAACAATATACATACACATATACTTCAAATTAGTTCCTAAATACTATGGGTCCATATGGAATACCACCTAATTTTTCAGTAGTATAGTATCGGAAACCCTCGCAATAAGCTAAACGTAATGTTCTTTAAACTTTTATTTTCACAATTATTTTCCTGTTCTCTGTATGGTCTTGGACGAAGGCAATATGAGTACAGGCGATCTATACAATTTGTTTGTGAACGATTTGTTTTCCGTGTGAGAGTTGCCTCCCTTACGGAAGGGAGATAATAGCATGTACGCAAGGAGTCTCTCCGGTTTTCTCACGAAGTCTATCGCAAGAAGAAATACGTTATCTACTTTTAAATTATACCTTGACAATCACCTTAGTCACTGTAATGTGAACCTTGTACAATCATTCAAACCACTACAACGAAACTTCAGCCACCTGGTTTCTGAAATGTCGAAGAAAGGCCCGACATCGAAGCAGACGAAGCTACCATTTCAAGCGCAACCTGCGAAAAATATGAGTAGTCAGAATGACGGTTCTGGTGGAGGTTCGAAAAAAGAATCTCCCAAGAAACCGCCAGGGTCCCCGGGGAGAATAACACGACAAGTTGTTAAAAAAGACGAGGAAACAGAGGTTGAATCAGCTCGAGGTATAAACAAAATACATTTGGCCTAAATTCCCCTAACTCACAAACTGAAAGTGAAAGTTGCTCTTGTTTGTCTTGACCATGTTCTAATCATCCAAGTTCGAACCATTTCATCCGAAACGGTTCACAACCTGGAAAATAATTGATCTGTATTAGCTGTTACCAACCGTTGATAAGAAGAATATATTAATTTAAAAACCAAAATGTCTTTTACACCAAGTAGACTCAGAAGATAGAACATGCTCCCTTGCCAAAATTCCCCAAAACAATTCAGAAAAAACCTGACCCAGAATTTAGTTGAAACCTCTCATATACTTTGGAGAAAATGGCCCCAACATTTGGAGCATATGGACCCAAACAAAAACACAAATCTGTGTTTGTACAGTTATGAAAACGGGCCCTTTTCAGTTCTTAATTAGTAGTAGATCGAGTAGGCCTAACTATTTTCATTTGGAAAGCTCGAGAGGCCCAAGACAGTGATGCATGCTGGGACAGTTAGGATGTTCTAATTTCTATTTTGTTTGTGGATTGTCAATTTCAACAATTGAGAATATCTGAATAAATAAAGATTAGTATCCTGGATCTGGATATATATACCTGCACCCAACCTGACCACCTTACTGCCTGCAAAATATTCATTAGGCCTGAAAAGAAACATGTTGTGGTTCCGATTTCCCGACCGACCCTTGAATTCTGGTGCCGACCCTATTTATTTAAAGAGGAATGAATAAACTATGCTTTCAGATCCCATTGTTTTTTTCCCGACCCCAACAGATATCAGTCATTCTAATAGAAAGAGTCGATATGATGGCCGCAAGCTTGACTGAACATAGAATGACACTTTATTAAATGTACTTTACTTCTAAAAAAAATATGTAAAAAATTTTTAATTCCGACCGACCTATTAATACCTACCCTAAATTTTAAAGAGGTGTAATCTGAACCACAACATTTTTTCATTTGGCCATATGTTGGAAAGTGCATGTTAAATCTCCAAATCATCATTATTATCTCACCACAGGTACAATTCCATTAATGGTACGGGGACACTGTGGAGAAATCAGTCAGTGTCAGAAGGCTGTAATGTAGGATGTCCAGTTTGAAGTGGTGGTCCAGTGCATTGACTGCAACAGAATATCTTACCATGACGTTGTGACAGAGACTGTGTGAAACAGAGATAAACTTGCAGAATAGCTATAATAAATGTACTAAATTTCCTAAGATTGAATAATGTAGGTTTGTTTCAATTCATTTGGGACCATTTTCTCCACAATTGGGGCCCTTTTAAGTAAAATTTTGAGCAAATTTCTCCTACTTCTCTGGCAGTTTTTGCAAGGGTAAATTATTTGCTAAACGCACATGGTGTCCAACCGTCAGTTGGCTTGTAGGGTAGACTGAAGTATTTGGGTCCCTCTACCAGAAGTATTATTTATGGAACTTAAATTTCACCATGAATGTAAAAGCTTTTCACATTTACATGACTATGAGTCCTCACATTGTGCCCCATTATCAGCCTTGAAAACATACTTCCGAACAGTTCATTTAGACATATTTGATATCTGATGGATGTTGACCATAACTTAATTCATGTTCATACCAGTGGGTGATATCTTCAACAAAAGGCGATGTGAGGTGAAATTGGGTTTTACGTCGTGCTTAAGAATATTTCATTCATATGATGACATGCATGCGTGTGTATGTGTATGTGCAGCTGCTTGTACTAGCCCAGACTTAAGCTGGTTTTATAGTGCTAGCCCACTGAAATACCATGCTGCAGTGAAGCATGAATGCCCAACTCAGACACATACTGACTCCGAGCCGAACAGTCCTTGTTGTACCCATTAATGCCGAGCACCAGGCAGGGACCAACAAGTGCCATATTTTAACGTCTTTTGGTATGACACGGTCGGGGATCGAACACACGACCTTCCGCTCTCCCGGGCGGACTCTCTAACCACTACACCACGGAGGCGGTCTTCAACAAAAGAATACAGCTAGGTCTTGATTGAAAGAAATCCTCAATAAATGGTGTCACCTCTGTTTCTTCATCTGTAAGTAGTAGCTGTACGTGAGTGGTGTCACCTGTTTTTGTTGACCGAATTTGTTTGTTGCTTTACAAGGTTTTCATGAACGCACAGCCATGCATGTTACACAGATGACAAATTATTATTTGCAGGCCTCCATAAAAACTCAAATAGCAACAGAAAGTTTGAAATTAATTCTCAAAAAGAAAATTCCTTAAATTCTTGTGTTCACACTATTTTGCTGTTACTTTTCATCATCACATGGGCTAAAACATTTGGAATGACACATAACTGTTCTGACACATGTACAGTAGTTCATATGAACCCCATGTTAACAGGCTGGATGTCTGTAGTGTCAAGTTGACACTTTGATAAGGCCACACTTCTCAGAATAATACAACGTGTCCCAATCAGTATGGCTGTTTGAAAACAGGTTAGATCTATCAACAACAACACATAAGCCTCATTGCCTCATTTGAAGTAAACTCAAAGCCTACAGAACTGGTAAAGAATAAGGGCCAGTCATTGAGGAATATAATTTATAATAGTCTACAGGACAAGTTAGTGTTCTTGGTCCAGTGGGCTAGCATGAGTTTTGAAGGTAATGATAGCCACAGTTGGCCACTTTAGTGTACTGGTTCGATCTGTGCTTATGTAGAGGACTGAGGGAAGGTGAGCAAAGCCCTCAGTTGTGTCCCTTGTGTCTTGGGGGATTTGAAATCCAAGTTTGATTCAGTGATCCTTGATCTTTCAGTGTCATTAGCAACCAGTGCTTATGAGTTCAGTTTAAGTGGTCAACATTTAGAGTCTCGCTTTGGACTCTCACTGATCATAATACAATGATTATCACTTGACAGTGTTAAAATCCTGCCACCTGGCATGATCAAGTTGCCCCCTTGTGTACAGCAAAAGAAAGAACTGTCTATCAGTGTTGAACAATTTTTGTTTGTGTATATATTTTGGGAATATTTTCATGGGAACTCACGTTGCTGTATTATCTGCTTCCAGACACTGCACTGAATATGCCCACAGATGAAAAGCGGAAGCGATACAAGTGCCGTGATAGGTATGAATTGCTTTCTAACATACCTCCCTGGAAAACTCAACCAAAGTTAGATGAATTGTCTGCAACTCTGCCAAAGAAGAAGAAAAGTTCACCCTTAAAAGGTATGTTACATTTAGTTAGATTGAAAGTTGGTCTCCAAATGGAAAATATGACATCTTCTCCAGTAGGCAAAGTATCAGAACTACACTGTAGGTATGGTTCTACAACTAGTACAAGTACCCAGTAGCTATGGCATCAGAACTACACTGTAGGTATGGTTCTACAAGTACCCAGTAGCTATGGCATCAGAACTACACTGTAGGTATGGTTCTACAAGTACCCAGTAGCTATGGCATCAGAACTACACTGTAGGTATGGTTCTACAAGTATCCAGTAGCTATGGTATCAGAACTACACTGTAGGTATGGTGCTACAAGTACCCAGTAGCTATGGCATCAGAACTACACTGTAGGTATGGTTCTACAAGTACCCAGTAGCTATGGCATCAGAACTACACTGTAGGTATGGTTCTACAAGTACCCAGTAGCTATGGCATCAGAACTACACTGTAGGTTGGTTCTACAAGTACCCAGTAGCTATGGCATCAGAACTACACTGTAGGTATGGTTCTACAAGTACCCAGTAGCTATGGCATCAGAACTACACTGTAGGTATGGTTCTACAAGTACCCAGTAGCTATGGCATCAGAACTACACTGTAGGTATGGTTCTACAAGTACCCAGTAGCTATGGCATCAGAACTACACTGTAGGTATAAGTCACAGCATGATTCATTTAATGGAAAATGCGATAAATCTGACCAACTTAAATGACTCAAAAGTTATTTTTGCACCCTATCAAACTGTTTATTTATTGTACTCTTAATAGCCCGGTTTAACATGAGCTTAGGCATTTTGAATGCCAGAGAGCATAACAGGAAAGCCTGTTTTGGATAATATAGTTTGTGGGTTCCTTTATGGGTTCGGGACAAATGAAGCTAAACTGTTCTTGCAGTCATGATAGTGTTCAGGAAATCCAGCTGTCAAGTTTACAGGTTAGACCAAGGATACTCTACAACAGGGATAGGTGACTCTCTTGCTTTCTTTACCATTTGTACTAATTAGCGTGTGCCTCGTCATGCTCCAACGCACACAGTGACGTGGTTCGTTCCCAGTACTTCAGCCAGTGTATTGTATCAGTCGGAATTTTACAATGAATGAATGAATGAATGAATGAATGAATGAATGAATTAAGAGCAAGAATTATATTTGAATGAATGAAAGAAATAAAGAAAAAGAACAAAAGAAAAAGAACATATGTGAATGAATGAAAGAATAAATGATACAGCACGGCCATCCCTCCCCAAACATGTTTAAGAACGCAAAACTATCGGTTGAACACATGTGTTAACGTCAGCTGTCCTTTTTAAAAAAAATCTAATTCAGATATCTTATTGCATGTGTGGAATGACATTGGCATTGACAGAATATTAACTGACACTGTCACAGACCCCTCAAAAACAGAAAGTTTAGAACTATCACAAAGCGTTGTAAACACCTTTCCAGTTTTGTCAAATACTAAGATCAACAAGAAATAAAGAAGTTTTAGAACTATAACACTCAAGCATCACAAGCATCAGTGGCGTATCAGAACAGATCGGCGATATGTCATATTTTTCACACACCTCAAATTATAAAACTATCACTGTTACTTGCAAACACCTTTCACCTGATGGTATATTCCCCTCATAAAAATTTAAGGTGTATGTGAAAGATGTTTTAGAACAATAACTAGAAACACTCAAACAACGCCCTGTAGTATTTCAATGGCAGATCGTCGATATGTCATATTTTTCACACACCTCAAATACACCCTAAAAATTTTTTTTAGTTATAAAACTATCACTATTACTTGCAAACACCTTTCAACTAAAGGTATATTTCCCTTCTAAAAATTAAACGAATATGTGAAAGAAGTTTTTAGCGATAGAATTTAGTCTTTCTTCACTGTGTACTGAGAATTGAAGCCAGTGAGCTACAACATGCCGACTTGAAACTTTACTACAAATCTACTGTACTAATACTGACACTAATAACAATTATTTGACTTAAAATGAAGTGACAGAATAGGTAACTTATCTTCTACATGTAGGTTTTCAGTTGTCACAACACTCAGTGTATGTAATCAGCTGTTGAAAATAAACCGGGCTCAATCTTAAAAACTACGCTGCCACCATATTGGCTACACTGGTCACGTGACGAGCCGAGGCATAGCTTAGGGGCTTTCCGAGGAGTGACCACTCCCCCTTATATAGTCTCCCTGGTTAGACTAACGCTTAGTCTCTGTATATATAATTTTGATAGTAACAAATAATCCAAACACTGAAAAGGAGCCCCAGTGAGATGGGAGATTCAGAACCTGAGGACATCTAGACTTGCTTCCTTATGGACTTTAGCATTGCAAAAATGGCTGGGCAGAAGGGATAATATAAATAAGGTGGTTCAGGGACTGTGAGGCAGACTAGTTGACAGGTTTACATGATATTAACAATGAATTGAAATGACATGTTGTGGTAATGTTTTAAGTTTAACTAGAACATCAAAAGGTATGGGCACACTTATTTTCAGAAAGGCACTCCTAAATTATCTGTCTAGTGCCCTGTGGCACCCAATACAAAATTTGCATTTCTATCCTTCTTATTTCAGATATAACATTTACATAGCAGATAGCAATGCACTGTTCCTTTATGTCTACACTAGGTCCCTAAGTGGATCTTGTAGTCACAATGGCCGATATTTTGTCATAGATTTTTGTTGTTGCTGCCTCAACTCAGCTAGCTTAGAGGGGAAGTGTACACGAATAAATCACATTTATTCTTATGTGAATCAAAGTGAACTGTTTTAATTAGTTAATACCAATGTTTGCAAATATACACTCATTTTTCTTACTATGTAAGTATAACCCTCAAAATAAGTGCTGAAATGTAATGCCAATATGATGCCTTTGTTTGCCGAGCTAAACAGGCCAGAGTTACCGCCCTTTGATTATGACGTAATTGGTGCCACTTGATTTTAAACGGGTGTCCTGTCTAGTCCCAAATAAAAAGATTATCATACTGAAATTAATCACATGAAAAAAAGTTTATGAAAATACGTAAGAAGCATAAGAACAGAAAATGTAAGCAGCAGAACGGATTGATCATGACATTGTGTATTTTCATTCATAACCTCACCTCAATGAAAATACCACATATGTATATCAATGTTGACGTCCGTATGACATCACTATAGGGAAGCGACCTTTTCAAAATGGCGTGTTCACTGACACGAACTCGTACGCCAGAGTTTTCGAAGGAAATTTTCGTTGTTTCAAGCAACGTATATGCATAAATGTGACATGTAAGTAGTCCGAAAATTCTGTCAGTCTGCTGGTTGTTATTTTCTTTTGCTTTCATTGTGACCAAGGGAAATAGTCAGAAATTAAGTGAAGTACCGTCATCGTTGTGGCGTCAGTCATGGCGTCATGCTTTCAGAAATGATAATATGTTGTGATGAATCCTTTCCCATGCATGTTCTAAAACTAATGAGCAAGTGTATGCAACAAGTAGGCGAACGGATACACAGTATAAAATCTGAGATTGGCTTTGTTTACATTTCAAACAAGTGGTCCTTTCCCAGCGCGGCATCTTATATATTTCGTTAGATTTCACTGAAACACTTCGTATTGGTGACAGAGTCCATTTGTCAGTTTATTTTGAACTGTATGAGGAATTCAGGGATTTATGTAAGGAAGATGGTGTTTTAAATTATACAATTGATTTTATGGACGAAACATAACTGACATACATGTGACATGATTTTATAAACACTCTGTAATATGGCTGAAAATTCACTTTGATTGTGTTTGCGTATTTTCCAAAACATTCTCAGCGATTCTCAGTTCATCGACAATGTTTCAGAACGAATATTGGTGATTCTATCAGACAACAACAAAACTACCGCTGAACACAATGTTACGTCTTTTTCTTTTAAATTCAATTCTCAGAGTAAAATTTGACATTTGAATTTATTGAATTCAGACATACTATAAATTACGCAAAACGCAGTGAATGGTGATTTAGTAATCTGTCTAAACTGGCGAGATTTACGATGCATGTAATTTTCAGTATATGTTATCTACAATGAGCGGATGATATCATAGAAAAACGAATTTCTAACAGAGTTCAAAACTGCAAATTGCATTTATCTGCGTGATGTATTTGGATATGTACGTGTACTAGCAAAGTGAAGGTGGAAGAGAAGGGACATATCGTACGATTTATGTAGGAATTTTAGTAACAAACGTAGAATGCTGGCACATTCACCGATGGCAAGCTAGATGTAGTTTTAGTTTAAGTGAAAAATAATACTGTTGGAAAGGGGACCGACTCAGGTTGAATATGTTATACAGTTTGGTTACGTGGTAACACTTTTAGTACAATGTACCGGTATACGTTCTTTCAAACTGTGACATCATCACAGTGTGGGACTGACCACATTCCACCTGACATCCAGGCAACAGCTGGATTAAAACAGTAGCCTGCGCATCAAGACACAAGAACCACACCTATACCTGCACCACGTGAAATGGGTCTAATAAGGTCTAACAACGTCATTCGTTTATCGTTTGTGCACCAATGACGTCATTTCCAAGGGACATAAGCCATGGTGTGTTTATTGTAGCTATAGAACTCTCGGTAAATGTGGAATATTTGAATCGATATTACGCAAAAAATATATTAGTTACTTCTGATATTTGTACTGTTTTGGCTATAAAACTACTTGACAAACACTTTTTATGATGAAAAAGTGCAAGACAAAAAGGTAAATTTTCATGTACATTTGCCCTTTAAGGCAGCTATGATATAGCTTGAATATGTTGTTAAACAACATTCAAAGACTTTCTACCCATAGATCTAGTTGACATGTTAGTATTTTAAGGAACAAAGTCTGATTCTAGGTGTTCACATTATGTAAATACTATATTTTTACATTAGACAAGCATTGTGTCAATACTGTTGTAAGGTGGTGTTGTCATTTCACTAGCGTTAAAGAAGATGTTCCACCGGACGCCCCAATGGCAGCTTCTTAATGAGGGTAAGGTCGAAAGCGGTGAGATGAGTCATTAGATTGCATAGCTTTGAACTCCCTCAGTATTGTGAACTATTGTGTTGAAGAAGAACTAACTTGATTTTAAAATTAAACTCTGATTCAGTGAATAAATGTTCTCTGTTTTATGATGTAATTTTGATAAAAGATTCTGAGTTTTCCCAATTCTAAGATGGCATATTGAATGCATTCCCTATTATCCAGTGTGTGGTATCTCACTTCAGTTATGATAAATACCTAGGTCCCATTTACATCCATAGCGATCAGTCAATTCTGTAAATGATATGTACATATCAATCAATTTCACTGATCATGAAAAAAATAAATTGCAATATTGCCAGTACTTGCCTACCCCTTTTACACGCTTATGTAAATACAACTGAGGCCACACAAGACTCTGGTGTCAAATGGTTTATTTTTCCTCATAAGTAAGCCTCATGTAAATTTGAGAGTCTACTCAAAGGTTGTTTTCAAACATGCTTATAAATGTTGATGCTTCACACCTGATGAAACTGTCTCACAGTCCCTGAAAAACATTATTTTCCTTACTGCCTAGCCCTCCCTGCAATGCTAATGCCCTAAATGAAGCAAGTCTAGATTAATCTCCCAACTCCTGATATACCTCCTGTATTCTGACACATGTCATGTTTACTCAGTATGAACTTCAAAGAGCATGTGTACTTGATATCTGGATTGTTAATGACTGGAAGTAGAGTTAATGTAATAACAGTGTTCATTCTAGATTTGAAAAATGTAGTACCACAGGGTTGAATAACTTTGGGTCATTTTGAAAATAGGGGCATAACCGTAAGTTGAATTCTAGTATGTTATGTAAGTTTTACAGTTTGAATTTGCATTTTTGATACAGGACACGCTAAGTAGTCTTAATTGTTTCACGCTTTAATATGATAATAAAGATCAACCTTTCGTCATGATTGAATCTTAATCAGAGATAGACAACTGGTTGTCTTCAAACAGACATTCACTTCATGTTGAACCTTGTCTAGTATCACATTATATATTAGTGAAAACTCCCATAACGCTTTGTATGACAAGCATGCTTCTTTTTTTCTTTTTTTCTCTTTTTTTTATTTCCATTTTTATGTTACAATTTCCATTACAGCAGCTTTATGTTCATTTGAAGGTATTTTAAGTGTACAGTGAGTAGTGTTGATGTAAATACATAATGTGTACATTACCTCTTATATATATAGTACACATATATACAAAATACATGTAGTTACAGTCAGTCAGTTATAGTATTTCGAAAAAGTAAATGGAAGGATGACCAGAAAGAATGAAAACTTGCATAGTTACAATTAGAAAAGGCAATAAATTTTGAGATTTCATAATATTTTAATACTTCTTTTTGAAACCATATAAAATTAGGTTTCACTGCTTTCTTACTACATTTATACAACATATATTTGATTATTATTATCACCACATTAAGAGGATTATTATGTTTACCTTTAAATCCAAATAATATATGTTCTTCACTTAAATGAATTTTACTTTCGATGTATCCTTCAATCCATTTAGTAAATTTTGTCCAAATATCTATTGCATATTGACAATTACAAAGCACATGTGCTATAGTTTCAGCTGGATCTTTACACAATGAACATGCTGGTGACTTAACATAGCCAATCTTATATAAATAACAATTAGTGCTGAGAATATTATGTAAAAGCATGCTTTTTGGCAGACAACTGTCTGTCACCCCTGCTGAAGATATATGTTGTGACAGAAGGAAAGGCCAATGTACAGATAATATATACCAATCAGCTACAAGCTGAAAGTAGGTCAAACCATATGGAAATAGTACTAAATCACTGACATGTACTCTAAACAATGAAATTGTTTTTTCAGATTTAGTATATATGCTAATAATTTACTATTTTATCCTTTCATAAGAATTCAAAGTCTTTGGGAAAAATTGATGAATGAAGACAATCTTCACAGTAAGTCAGAAGTGGTATGAAACTAAAGAATTATTTTTTCTCTGTCACTTGTGAAATAAGACATTTAGCATTTAGCGCGAAGCGTGGGATATAGTATTATGCTCTGTCCGTCCTTCCGTCCATATGAATTGAAATATCTTAAGAACCTTTGACTGGATTCTTTTCATATTTGGTACCTAGATTCATCACAGTAAAAGAAAGGTCCCAGTCATGTTTGGTGACCTTGACCTTCAGTTCAAGGTCACAAGGGGACTTTAACGTTTTACCCTTGTCAGCGAGATATCTCAAGAACCGTTCTCCGGATTTTCTTCATATTCAACTCCAAGCTTTATCTAGGGAAGTTGCAGGGCCCTATCGATTTTGGTGACATTCACCTAATTTTCAAGGTCATGGCGACACTTTGAAGATTTCAGCATGTTAAGCTGCATGTTAAGCTTGTCAGTGAGATACCTCAAGAACCGTTTACTGAATTTTCTTCATATTCGACATCAAGCTTCATCTGGGGAAGGCCCAGGGCCCAGTCGATTTTGGTGACCTTCACATCATTTTCAAGGTCACGGCGAAACTTTGAAGATTTCAGCATGTTAAACTGCATGTTAAGATTGTCAGCGAAATATCTCAAGAACTGTTCACTGGATTTTCTTCATAGACTTTCAAGACTTCCCTTGAATGTTTTTCAATAAGCAATTTCTTTATTACTATATTTGCATATTTCATACACTAAGACGTTCATGTTAAGGTCAAAGTGAGTCTTGAAAATATTTGTGCGTTTGAAAAACTACAGAGCAAGATATCAAAATAGGTTGACTGGTCATGTTTTTGTTGACATTTAACTTCATCTTAAATTACGACCTTCACTTTCATTACTTTTTAAGTTTGATTTGATAATTTGCGGCGGGGGATTATGTCACCTTAGTGACAATACTTGTTCTCTCTGGTCTATCATCCCATCTGTGGTTACCTCACTATAAGGTTAGTAATTTGCCATGCTATAACATGGCCAAAACATCATGACATTTTGGTTTCATTGTAAAACTTGCAAAGCAATTTCTAATCTCTGATTATTGATCTTAATTAGCTAATCAGTACCTGTTAGATACTACAGCAAAAATGAAGACACAACCAGAAGACACAACCACATATACTTCACACTTGTAGCAAGTACTGCCTTGCACCTTCAGTCCATGGTAAGAAATGAGAGAAGGATCACCCATTTTAGCATCTTTGCCCACTTAGGGGCAGTGGGGTAGCCTAGTGGTTAAAGCTTTCGCTCGTCACGCCGAAGACCCAGGTTGGAATCCCCACATGGGTACATTGTGTGAAGCTCATTTCTGGTGTTCCCCGCCGTGATATTGCTGGAATATTGCTAAAAGCGGCGTAAAACCAAACTCACTCACTCACTCACTCACTCTTTGCCCACTCGGCTTGCAGAGCATGTTTTCCAGTTTGTTTCAAAGGCAGCAATCAAACTTATCCCAAAGTTTTGTTTATCAGGTTCATATCTGGTGATTAAGAGGTCAATGTGAGATACTGTACATTGTGGTTCCTTGTTTATACTGTAGTTACACATGCTGTATGTTGTATAGCATTGTATTGTTGAAAGAGGCAAGAAACACAGTTTGTAATGGGAACATGTGCAGTACGGTTCCTTCACAACAGCATTGGTCTGTGAAGTTACCTTTCTTCAGGCTTGTTCTGGGGGCGGTGGGGTAGCCTAGTGGTTAAAGCATTGGCTCGTCACGCCGAAGACCCGGTTTCGAATCCTCACATGGGTACAATGTGTGAAGCCCATTTCTGGTGTCCCCCACCGTGATGTTGCTGGAATATTGCTAAAAGCGGCGTAAAACCAAACTCAGTCAGTCAATCAGGCTTGTTCTGCCAGTGTGGGAGATTTCCACCCACATCACTCCAAGTCTGTCCACCTGCTATATGCAGTTCCGATTAGCTGAAAACGGCATGGTAGTTCTTTACCTGCTGCTCAAGCGAACAGTCCTCCATCCTTGACAGCACAGATGTCCTAGTTGTTGATGATGTTTTGCTGACTGCCTTTAGGATCTCCTTCCCATTTCTGCAATTTCAAATGTTCTTCACAATTCTGGAATTGCTGCAGTTTTGGCAAACAAGAAGCCCTGACTATTACAGAGCAGTTCCAGATGGTTCAGAACATGTATGTGCATTTGTCCTATGGTTCTCTTGTGATGTTCTTCTGGATTGTTACCCTGGGGCATTTGGTCATTGTTGTATTTTAATGATTCAACAATAACCCTGTTGGCATGGTAGCATATATTCTAAACAATACCATATTCGTGCTTAAAAAGATGATTTTGTGCAAATCATTTCAATGTCTTTCATGTATGCATGTTAATATAATTTCTTTGAGGGGTATATGTCTCAGATGTGTTTGAAGTGACAGTATCATATGTAATCATATGCTGTCTGTCGTGGGCCATAATCTGAGGTTAAGATGTTAACACTAAGGTTACCCTTGCCACTAGGGAGAAGATATCTATCTGCTATCCCCTCCATATTTACCTCTGCTTTGAACCCATGGAGATTCTTGCCATGGCAAGGTCCCAGATATGCTTGCCATAAGAGCTTACTTAAAGAGTTGTCACCAGTCAGTGACTTGCATATAAAACTCCATTGCACCCCAACATTGGGCTCATCTGCTCATACGTTGGCTCTTATAACAAGAAGCTAGATTGTTGATGCAGTGTTAGGTAAAAGTCACTCACTCACCTGTCTACCTGTTGTGCTTGCACCTGTTTCTGGCTCTTCACATGTTGTGCACAAATATGCATGTTAAGTGGGGACTAAGCATTGGTCAGCTGACAGTCCTGACTAATTTCATTGAATGTAATTTTGAATTCACTTTCAGTTTGACAAAAGTTGCTAATTATGTCACGAACAAAATGGCCCCAGATCATGGATTTTAGTGCCCCTTTAAAGGCACAATGTCACACCACACTTCTCTGAAAGAAAGCATTATGCATTTCTCTCAATAATCCTGTCCTCCGGGAAGCAACCATGTAATTTATTCCATAAAAGATTACGTATTTAGATTACAATATTAAATTAAAAAGTTCAAATGCAATGTTGCATTAAATCGACTCTTGCACCATCTACCGGTGAAACAATATTTCAAGCGAACCCCATAGAGTTATGTCCCTTGGAGCGCTCTTTATGAATATGCTATGCACAGCTATGTGATTGAAACCAGTCTCCATCTGTAAATTTTGCATGAAGCTGAAACTTTGCATAAATGATGTTAGTCAAACATTGGTTTTCACATATGGTTAACATGGGAACCATATTGGAGTAGGAAAATATGCAGTTTAAGCATTTGTGTAAATGGAATGGTCTAGACATACTTTCAATGTCCTACTCATTTGGTTATGGGAGAAAATAGCAAGACAAGTTTATGTGGATCAGCTCTGTCCATGTTGAGATGGCCACTAAAGCAAAGTCAATAGATCCACATGACCAAAGAGGTTAATGCTGTCAGCAAGTTGACAAGGTAAGGATGTCATCTGTGGGATGGCTCCACACTCTGCTACACATATAGAAGTGTATTTAGCAGTGAAAGCTTCATGATATGGAAATATGATCAGGGGCTTAGTGGAAGCTTTAATTTAAGTGTTGGAAACAACATTTTCATCTGACTATGCAGTCAACAGAAATTCTTCATCAGGGAATTAATGGAGATTTCTGTTTTCTATACACAGAGAGAGATGTAGGTATTGCAGCACAATTTCACTTTCAAATGTTGTTTGTTTCAGACAAAGTGTGTAAGAAAGAGTATGAAATAAGACCTGATCTCAACGAGAAGGTATCGCTGTGGATCGGGGACATTACGACGCTGGAAATAGATGCCATTGTCAATGCTGCCAATGAAAGTCTCATGGGAGGAGGGGGAGGTAAGTCACTGGAGATGTTCAATTTAAGCTTAAGGGTTACGATGTAGCTCAGTGGCAGACACTATGAACCAGGTTCAACTCTCTGTAGATGGTATCCCTGTGGGTTGGGGACATTACCACGCTGGAAATAGATGCCATTGTCAATGTTGCCAATGAAAGTCTCCCAGGAGGAGGTGGAGGTAAATCACAGCAGATGTTCGACTGAAGATTAGGGTTCAGTCACAGCAGATGTTCGACTGAAGATTAGGGTTCACGATTATAACTCAGTGGTGGGCACTGATGAGCCAGGTTCAGCTCTCTGTAGAAGGCCATTTTGGGTTCTTATTGTCCCATCATGAAGCATCCTTGATGACAAAGTGTAATTTATATTCAGTTTATTTTGTTGAGTACTCTGGACCCAATTTACCATTATAGGTTCATTTCTAGTCTTGATGGAATTAGGTAAAGCTGAAGCTGGCTGTCTCCCAGGAGAGAGTGTATTCCATCATCACATAAAAAATTGCAAAGAAAAATGTAATAGCTCATTGGAGTCCAAAGGCTCTGATGTAATGATAATATCTGATGTAGTGATCCACAAACTTTATCACAGTGATTTGTAAATGTGGATGAAACCTATTTTAACCACTTCCATAATGTTTCCAAAAAACAACTGTTACTAGAGTAAACTCCATATGCTTGTAATGAAGTGGCAGATTTATTGAACTGTTTCTATGGCCCCAGTCACAAGCTGCATAGTTTAGTCAAGATGCTTATAATGAACTGCAGTAATTATGGTCTGTTTGAGTTCATTATAACTGTACTTAACTGCACTTGATTACTGCTCCTTCCTCAAATTTGTCCATTTCCTAATGTTTTGTGTGACATTAAATAAGAAACACCACAAGTAGCCTGCATTATGGATATTAGGGCTGCGCAATATAACCGGTTTACCGGTATTTACCGGTTCAGAGATGAAAACTATATGTATTGCGATATGCTGATCGAAAACCGGTATTTTGACATGCATTCGGAAAACTTCGTAACACTCGGAAATCTTCGGATATTGCCTTGTTTCATTTGTGCCAAATATTATTTACATTTTTATTTTGTCAGGATTAAAAGTTTTTATTAAAGCTTAATCAAACATGATGATTTTATTTTGTTTTTGCTTTATAAATCAAGCATTAACTTGAGTATAAGTAATATATTGCAGTACATATCGCAATATATGCTTTCGCATTGCAATATATCGCAATATGAAAATTCTCTGCAGTACCCACCCCTAATGGATACATGGATCTTCACTCTCTCCCACCAAATTCGTTGCAGTTGATGGTGCTATCCATTCAGCAGCAGGACCCAAGTTGAAGAAAGAATGCAAGCTCCTCAAGGGCTGCCCCACTGGCGATGCTAAAATAACTGCTGGCTATGACCTCCCTGCCAAATGTAAGTGCTGAATCTTTCCCTACTATAATCTGTCAATATGAGTGTGAGGGAGTTTAGTTGTTCGCTGCTTTTATCAATATTCCAGCAATATAATGGCAGGATACACCAGGAATGGGTTTCACACATTGTACCTATATAGGGATCCGGGGTTATAATTGGCCTTCAGCAACCCATGCTTGTCGTAAGAGACGACTAATCTTGTGGTCAGGCTTGCTGACTTGATTGACACATGTCATTGCATCCCAGTTGCGTAGATCGATGTTCATGCTGTTAATCACTGGATTGTCTGGTCCGGGATTCAATTATTTACAGAACGCCACTATGCATACCATGTTTATAGCAGACTGATCAAGGCAGCCTGAATACATTACTTCTTGCATATAGCAGTAATACTTCCAAATAAGGCACACATATTCAAGTATCAGAATTAAATGCATTGTTTACATTCAAACATATTTCCCATGCCATTTTTATGTTTAAAAAAAGTCCATGCAAAACAGTCTTACTTTGCACTTTAGATGTTTTGAATGTTTTGATTCAATGAAAACAGTTCGATACAAAGTAGTTTCCACAGGATATGTAACCAGTTGAAGAATATTCACACCATGACATTGCTAGTTATAATCAGCTTCTTCCATTTATGTGTGGGTGTTAATGTGGGAGTTGTTATATTTATCGGATCAGTAAACAAGGGTTGATCCCCTCATAACAGTGGTGTAATAATGGGGTTATGGGGTAGCCTAGTGGTTAAAGCGTTCGCTCACCATGCCAAAGGCCCGGGTTCGATTCCCCACATGGGTACAATGTGTCATATTGCTTGAATATTGCGAAAAGCGGCATAAAGCCCAACTCACTCACTCACTCGTGTAACAATGAAGATGTTTTGATCCTCAGTTTTTTCAGTAGTTGTATAAAGTTACTAATATATGATGAGATTAAAAGTTGACAGTAGGAGGCTTATCTCCTTTCCACCATAATACCGACACGACTGTCCAGATCATGTAGTTGGCGAGTCAGTAGCAAACAGGGATGCCACGATACAACGGTGCATCAATACTCACTCACTAAGACGATACAATTATCGGTACATGCAAAACTGTATCGATATTTAGTTTTGAAAGTATTGGTTTAAATATGTTTATGTATCATTTATGTTTGGCAATTGTATCATGTTTTTTGATATTATGAGAGTTATAAATGATTATTTATTATGAACAAAGGTGGGAAATCTCTGAGAATCAGAAATGTTGATCTTCTCTTGGACAATTATAAAACATGAAATATTAATGTTCAAAATGTAACTAAATTTACGCAATAATGCGGCGAAAATAGGTATCGTGATACGTATCGAATCGTGACATGGGTATTGTGATACGTATTGATTCATGAAACTTATGTATCGTGACATCCCTAGAAGCAGAAGAGGACAAGTTGTTTGTTTCAACCTACCTTGACATAGGGTGAAATGAAACATGCCTGGGTGTAGTTGCCAATTATAGAGAATGAATAGTTGTTTTGTTGTCTTTGTCATAACACTAGTGTTGTCGACTTGCTTTTCAGATGTTATTCATACTGTTGGTCCAATCGGAGAATATCCCAAAGACCTGGAGAGTTGTTATGTTGAATCCTTAAAGAGGATGAAGGAACAGAAACTGACAACAATTGTAAGTGCTTCCACAATCATCTAAGCACAAGACCCATGAAGGTCCAGGTTAGAATCAGCCATAAGTAATGCTTGTCGTAAGAGGTGACTAACGGGATCGGATGGTCAGGCTCGCTGACTTGGTTGACACATGTCATTGGTTGCCAATTGCGCAGATTGATGCTCATGCTGTTGATCACTGGATTGTCTGGTCCAGACTCAATTATTTACAGACCGCCGCCATATAGCTGGAATATTGCTGAGTGCGGCTTAAAACTAAACTCACTCACTCACAACATAAGCATCATAACTACATGATATTGTCAATTTGTATGCTTTAATGCTGAGATTCACATATTCGAATAAAGAGAACTGGCACTCGTCATTAGAGTGATGTCAAATTTATTTGGGCCCATTCATAATACAGAGTATGCAAAAAAATGTTCTGTCATATGTTTATTTTTGTAATTTCATGTATTTTTGATAATTGTCTTGGTCTTGTAAACAACTTAAATAATCAACATGTGTTCACCTTTCTTGTATGTTACTCTTTTCCAGGCCTTTCCATGTATATCTACAGGAGTATATGGTGAGTAAACACAACAGCAGCAGTACACACAGTAGGGCTGGAAAACATTATCGATAATCAGAAATATCGTCGATTGAAAACACAACATATAAAAGTTGTGTTATCGATTATATCATACATTAACTTTTGTGGTAGAAAAAGTTATAATTTTCTTACACAATTTAGAAACTTAGGACTTAATTGATGGTCTGCTTCTAAATTATGTTCAGGATGCTGTTTTGTTAATAACTCATTCAAAAACATGTCAATACTCACATGTGATGTGAAATGCATTTATTTCTTCAGGATATCATTGGCATTTTACTAAAAGTTGCGCCTCCGATATTTATTGATAAAAGTTTGATATTTAGGTAACAATTATCGATATGTAAGATCAATAATGATGGCTAGCACGGTACATGGCCTGTTCTCAGGTGGGCAGAGTCTAACATGACATACGATAAGATTTTTAATTTTTAAATGTTAACTATAAATTGTATATTATACAGTATATAATATTTAGCCTGTCATGCACAATGGACTCCCAACCAACCAAACCCACAATAAAAATTACAAGACTGGTGAATGACTTCTGTTGGGACAGCAAGATGCAAGCTTTGCATGAACTTCCAGCGACTGCCCAACTCATGGAGCAGGGTGTGTTTGGGTGATATGTAACAAGAAGCTGGAAACTTTGTTTGAGGTTGTTTTCACTCCATTGTGAAAAGAACAAGAGAAAATGCATATTGTGAGATAGGATAAGTGTTATAAATATACAAGTTATAGTTTTCATATTCAGTTATTATTTTTTCCGTATATGTATGGATTGATCTAAAGTGTGTATACAGAATATATCTGAATAGAAATGCTGACAGCAAAGGGCCTGTGAAGATCCGGGTTAGAATTAGTCTTCAGCAACCCATGCTTGTCATAAGGGGCAACTAGCAGGATCTGGTGGTCAGGCTCACTGATTTGGTTGATGCTAATGATCACTGGATTGTCTGGTCCAAACTCGATTATTTACAGGCCACACCTAATACTAGCTGGAATATTGCTGAGTGCAGCATTGATGACAAACACAAGGCAGGGCTGTCTTTGTTGACGTATCCAGGTGAGCTTCAGTGTTGTGACATTAGTGACATTATGCTGTTCTGAAGTGATCAGAGTGAGTGAGTTTAGCAATATTCCAGCTATATGGCGGCGGTCTGTAAATAATCGAGTCTGGACCAGACAATCCAGGGATCAACAACATGAACATTGATCCAGGCAGTTTGATACAATAACATGTGTCAACCCAGTCAGCGAGTCTGACCACCTGATCCCATTAGTCGCCTCTTACGACAAGCATGGGTTACTGAAGATCAATTCTAAACCGGACCTTCACGGGTCTAAAGTGGTCAGAAGATCCTGGAGCATTTATAAGCCAAACAGGATGTTCAGTCATCCCATGTACTTTACCCAATGCTTCGGAACATTGCTGTATAGCTCATGGTGATATTTGATTAAATGCAATTGTTTTAGGTTATCCTAATGAGAAGGCAGTCAAAGTTGCATTGAAAACAGTTCGAGAATTTCTGGAAGAGGATCCATATGGACCTGAGGTATGATGGTATTATGGACAGTACAGGGGTGGTTGGGTAGCCTAGCTCGTCACGCCAAAGACCCGGTGTAACAGGCCAAACTTTGGCCTAGGACAAACTTCCCCCCCCTAGGCTTAATCTTCCCCAGGGAAAGTTTGTCCTATATTTGAAACTTTAACTAAATACATTTACCCAGTTTTTACTTGGATGTCCATATCGATTCAAAATTTTATTCCCTCACTCATGGCTTTAAATATGGCATCCACGTCGGCGACAGCAATTTAACAGTTGGAAGCAGACATAAACATCAACACAACAACTCAACACAATATCTGTATCAAATGCTGTGTCAACTATCATTCCACTATAGTGTATATCTGAATCATATTTCATTCACCAAAAGTGATTATGGATTAGTAAACAAGCTTATGTGAATAATGTTCCATTACATTTATACATAAATACAACAAATATGAGATAATGAACAGCATGATAAGATAGCAAGCAACCTGTGAGCAGGATGGATTTAGAGATATATGCCGTTTAAACATGTATGCATTCAAATCACTACACCAAAGTCAGAGGCAAGAATGGACTATTTGGCACAAATGTGTACCAAATTTTAAGTCAAAACTACTGTTGGTTTGATGTTTGTAATAACTTGTTCTCCCCCTTTTGATATAAAATCAAGGGTAGGGAAGAAGTGGCCAAGCTAGGCCAGAATCTCCCCTCTTTTCATAGAAAACAGAACAAAATATCCTAGTTTAAACAGGGGGAAACCTTTGGCCTAGGGGGACTTTCCCCGGGGTAAGAATATCCTGGGACAAAATCTCCCAGGGGAAAGTCTGGCCTAGGCCAGATTCTTCCTGGGGAAAGTTTAGACCGGGGAGAAATGGCCTGCTACAACGGGTTTGTTTCCCAACATGGGTACAATGTGTGAAGCAGATTTCTGGTGTTCCCTACTGTGATATTGCTTGAATATTGCGACAAGTGGAGTAAATCCATACTAACTCACTCACACACTGTGGACAGTACCCAAACTCCAATGTTTTAGTGTGTGAATTTTGAGCATTACACAACTTGCCCATTGGACAAAAGGTTGATCACTTGATTACAAAACTGACATTGATAAGCACATTTTGATGTATACTGATAGATTAATTACATTTTGAATGGAAATCCATCTGAACTAGCTCGTGTAAATATCAGTGAAATGATTGTCATAAGGGTTGACTTAATATATATCTAGTGGTCAGATTTGGTACCGGTAACTTGGTTCAAGCTTATAAGAATAACATGAATAGCTCCTGATGTCAGTCACTGCATCATGAGAACCTTACTCAGTTATTTACTGTCATCGTACAGGATATTCTTATATTCATACAGCAAACAATCGAAACAACCTACTGTAAAAGAGTAATATGCTATTGTATTTGTTATGCTAGACTATACTGTTTGCTGTGCCAACATTGTTATTTCATTGTGCCATATTCACCACAGGAGGTAATGGCCCAAGGAATTGAAATGATATCCAGCCTGACTATACTTTCTCCTATAAGTGTATTATGCACTACCTACTGTATCTGTTATGCTAAACTATATTGTTTGCTATGCCAGCATTGATATTCCATTGTATCACATTCACCATAAAAAATCACGTAGTCTGAATGTACTTTCTCTTGTAAGTGTGCTACACACTACTTGCTGTATTTGTTATGCTAGTCTATATTGCTTGTTATGCCCACACTGTTATTCCATCAAACCATACTTATATACTTTTGTAGGTATATGCTCCACTGAAATGAATAAAAATATTTTTAAAATCAACAACAATCGAAACAAAAATTGGTCATTGTCTGGTTTTTTAGAAAATACATCACTTTTTGTAAATTAAGTTAACTTGATCACAACTGTTTTAAATATTTTCAAAGATTCTCTTTCCATAAGATAGAGTATTTCATGCAGATTGTTTGCCTATATATCCACCTCATGGTCATTGGTGCTTGTCTTCTACCATGCAGGTGGAGAGGGTCATATTCTGCCTCTTCATGAAGGTGGATGTGACTTTATACATGGAGGGGATGAATGGTTACTTCCCTCTCGGTGACGCAGGGGGTGAGGGTAGGTTTTTGTTTGTCTGGTTGAGGAGTTGAACGTCCTTTTGAATGTGACTTAGTAAGGTTGGAAACTGCTCTAAACATTAATAATGTAATATCATTGTTGTAGCATCCATATTTGAACAAGCTTGAAGTGACACAGGTCATAATCTTTCAATACCTCATTGAGATGTGTATGGGTAGGCTGCTGACAAAAAGCATGGACATATCGGGCAGATCTTCGGTTCAGACTCCTGCCATTGCTAAGGGCAGTAAATCTGCATTGCCTTAGACCACTGGGCCACCCAGACCTCATCATAATGTTGACTTTGCTTTTAGCACCCATACCTAAGTCTATGAGAATATCAGATCACTCTATATCCCTTGAGAATGTCTTGTTTGCCATGTAGGTGAAACAAGTGATGGGGCCAAGGCTACCGAGGATGGTGACGTTACCGTTACTGATAAGGCCACAACACCAACTGTTGATGAAGCTATTGTAAGCGATGAAAGCAGAGAGGCCAAAAATGAATCCATGGAAGTGGATGATGCAGGAGACATGGCTAAGGAGAAGGGAGATAACTCTAAAGTACCAAAGGGCAATGAGAATGACATTGAAATGAAAGATGATCAGTCTGAAAGTCAGGATGGTTCTGTTGATGATGATGCACAGAGAAAAGCTGAAGGGAAAGAAGAAAGTAGAGTATCAGAAGAAACTAAGGGAGATAAGTCAAGTGAAGAAAAGAAGTCTGTTTCTACAAAGAAGGAAGCAGCAGATAAAGTTGGCGACAGTACCAGTGGTAAATCATCCTCAGATGGCAGTGGAGAACCTGAACCTGTCTCAAAGAAAGAGAATTCTCACTTATGAGGATGGTATATTGGAATAATGGCGTCTTTTTAAAATGAGGTGTGAGAAGGGTTCTCTAGAATTTTAGAAATTTTAACAAAATTGATGCAAAACATGTCACCAGTGATGGGAAATATATGCATGTGTTTCGGATTTTTGGAGCATCTCTGATATTTATCTATAAACGATCGATATTATTGATCTCTATGATCTCTATAGATAGCCAGCCCTACAGTCTGTAGTCAAAATCAGTAGGAAAGCAGTTGGTTTTGGATGATGTTAAGGTGCTGTCCTGCCAGGCATTCTCGTCAAGGTAGATGATTTTGTATGCATGTGACTGACTTATCACTTGCACACTAACATTGAAGCTCCTTTGTTAGACATTAAAGCCCGATAAGGGTATCTTTAAGAACTAACTCCCTGTGTCCCTTTTGACATTGTGGTGTTGGTAGTACTTAGTACATGGAAGTTGTATCAAGGTATAACAAGTCTAGCTAGAAGATGGCTTGTGAAGTCTAGCTAGCTAGAAGATGAACAGGGCCCCATTCCACAAAGCGATCATACTTAGACTGTCGTAAGTCTATGTTAAGGTATGGGCGTTACAATCATCTTAGCGCTACGACTGTCATAAGTCTATGTTAAGGTATGGGAGTTACGATCATCTTAGCGCTACGACTGTCGTAAGTCTATGTTAAGGTATGGGCGTTACAATCATCTTAGCGCTACGACTGTCGTAAGTCTATGTTAAGGTATGGGCGTTACAATCATCTTAGCGCTACGATCGTATTTTGTGGAACAGGGCCCAGGGTGCAGTTCCACTAACCGATCTTATGTAAGATCAATCTTAGCAAGTTACGCCAATTTTACAATCGTCTTAGCTAAAAGTTACACCCGTTCCACGAACCGAGCTTAGGCCGATCGTAGCCGGTCCCGATCTTACAATCCAATCCAATCCAAAAATTGCGCATCCGCCGGTATACAACTACTGGAAACTCTCAACATCGTTGGGCTTATGCAATGACATAGCTAGTAGAGATAAAAAACACCAGTGAGCGGAGCTTAAACACCAACAAAATCACATTACATTACGTGAAATGGGTATTGGTTCGCAACTTCCTGACGTAAAATATACACTACTGGTAGTCCAAAATGATAAGTTGCATTAATAAAAATTTGGTCGCTTTCAAGCATCTTTCAAGCATGACTAGAAACAAACTTTGCATGGCTGTCAGTGGCCGGACTTAAGAAATATAGGTTTGAGAGGTAAAATGTATGGTATCTTATCGCTTTTCAGCTGAGCTTTACCACCGTGTTGCCATGCAGGCGTCATAGGGCATTGTTTCGAGAACGTGCTTTCGAACAAAATCACATTACATTACGTAAATGGGTATTGTGACGTATTTTTAAAGTTCGTGGTGCTGTATTCTAAAGGTAGGCCAGGACAACTTCCTGACGTAAAATAAAAATACACTACTGGTAGTCCAAAATAATAAGTTGCATTTGATGACTATTATTACTACTGGCCCCAAGCTTCACTTTTACTACAAATTTCAATATAATAAAAGATTTGGTCGCTTTCAAGCATCTTTCAAGCATGACTAGAAACAAACTTTGGAGAACAGCAAAGTCAAATGTCCACCGTTTTCTGAATGGTCTTTTACAATGGAATTGAAAATGGCTGTATGGCTGTCATGATTGTAATCATCTTTTTTGTAATGCATTTCATATTTGTCTCTGTTCTGAAAATCATTCTCACACCTCAGCTTCAGCAACTTGCAGACCTGTATATTGTGGAAATCATAGGAATTATCCCTGGTTGGTCTTGAGTTGTATATTTTCCAGCTTTTATGTATGTTTCTGTTATATAACTCATTAGTTCTGGCTAAATGTTATATTCAGCAGAACATGTGCATATGTCGTTGTTATGCAGATGGGATGTTTTACCCCTACTGGTGTTAATGCTTCTGTTTTAGCTTCTCAGTGGTATATTCCAGTTATGGAATAAACCCGGTCTTGTCAATGATGAAATTTGTTTTGATAATTGATGCTATGTCTTTCAATGAAAGAATGCTTAAAAGATTTTGTTAATTTGTTAAATCACAGTTTTAATGATGGGCTTAAATGTTTTAATATTTGAGACAAACCACCAGGAATGATTTTGTTGTATCTGTTGAAACCTAACTAACCCTAGCTCTTGATTCAATGGTACTACGATATGAAATGAGTCAAATGGTACACAGACATCTTCATGCTCTGCAGTTGGCTATGCAGAGTTGCATGCCAGGATGCTCTTATCATGGGTTTATATCCCGTATTTGCCATGATTTTGATTCTAGTTTTATCATAGCTGTGCTGGTGGATTTCACCAAAATGGTAAACATTTTGCACCTGCAGCACTGTGGGGTCTCTTGACACAATAAACTGAGATGATATATTGGTATAGCAGCTCTAAGCTGTATTCCTTTCCCTTTTATGCATGACTTTTTGGACCTTGGACCTGGACATCCGAAATGATTCAGGATTTAAATCCTGATGGTATGCTATCATGAGTTCTCCATCTTATTCTGGTCTCGTTTTGTATCACTCATGTATGAATTCAGTGTTAATGTTGAAAAAATAGAGGTTTTATGAAACAAGTTTGAGAGAAATAATATTTAATTTTAGGTTTGTATATTTTCATTGAAAGAATGGAAAAATGTAGGAATGAAATGGGTAAATGATTTGTTGCCTACATTAACATATGTAACAGCAACAATGACAAACTTTTTTCAGTAATTTAGTTTGGATTGTCTGATTCACAATCCCAGTTGTAACAAGAACACTGTAAGGTAGTGTCGGCATTGTGGATGAAATGCAGTTGCTGCATGCATTGCAGTCTTGATTTGAATGTTTATTTACTGTTTAATGAAATAATGTACTCTTGATTTCCACTTCTGTATGAATGACCATGATTCAAGTTGTGTGCTACACTATCCCACTTTTACTTTTACATATGTTTATGTGAGTGTCATAACCCTGATTGATGAGTACCAGTGAAATGACACACCTGGGGGGCCAAGTACACTGAAATTCAAGTGTGAGTGACTGAGTGAGTTTGGTTTTACGCCGCTTTTAGCAATATTCCAACAATATCACGGCGAGGGACACCAGAAATGGACTTAACACATTGTACCCATGTGGGGAATCGAACCCGGGTCTTCGGCATGATGAGAGAAACGCCTTAACCACTAGGCTACCCCACCGCCCCCTGAAATTCAAGATCATTTGCTGTTATTCAGTGTCAGTGATTATAAGAGTGTAATGATGTCCTGATCCTCTATTGTGTTCACTGCGCAGAGTTGTGTCCCCTTGGTGTGCCAGGAACCTATACTTATGGGTTGGAATCCCGGTTAATGCTGATTGTGATCCTTGAATTGTCAAAGCCAGGTCTTTGATGATGGTTGCAAAGAAATGCTGAAGTTAAAAACCCACATCAGTCTGCCTTTCCTCCAATACTGAACTGAAATACTGTTCAAAACCTCAAGTCAGTAACTCATTCACTCGGTGATGCATTCCCCTTCATATTTGAAGCACCAATGGTGGTAAAACACATTTCATGGCTATGGATGCAATTTATACTTTAGTACTTCTCACAGTATCAGTAGATGTCAGTTTTTGAGGAAGTTTGAAGACAAAGTCAATTTATATTTAAACTACATGGACGATTTGATAAAGGATAAATTCATATTGGGAAATATCAATTTCTTACAGCTTCACATGTTTTCTATATATGGAGCTGCATCAATAGCCATGAGTGGAAACCTTAATGAACGAGGAGAGTTCTATGGATACACAACTTCTTTAATATTAGTATGAGCGACGTTTTGTTGTAGCTACGAACACCTTTATCAAGCAAGTGATGATGTTAGTAGCTACACCGAAATGTCGCTCCTATCAATATTAAAGAAGTTGTGTATCCATTAAACTCTCCTCGTTCATCACACTACTTTTAAATGCCACTCAAAGAAGTTAACCTTAATGCAGACACCCATTTTAGAATTACATATATTTACTTTAATTTGGTTTCATTTTGTAAAACCTGTGCCATGGAAAAAAAGTCTTTTGGCCACAATTAGGAAAAAAAATATTGTTGATGGCCAATAGTCTATACTGTAGATGTGCAAGATATTGAATTGTTATTTTTGGACATAACAGAATTGTGAACAACTTACTAATATGTGTAGTCATGTGGATGCGGACTATGGAGTGAATAAATATCAATAGAGTGGTTCCTAAGGAGATTCTGTGTCTTTTGCATTGGGACATGAAAGGAGTTTGTTTGTTAATGACAGATATATGTCATTTTGTATAGTGTTGTCCTCACTTGTAAGGGAAGGACTCTTTGAGGCCTGCAACACTTCTGGCTTTACATCACATGAAGCTGATCGGACATTCAGGCAGTATGGTGTAGATTGACCCTGGATTTTAACCTTGTTTTTTTAGCACTATGTCAGTATGTGGATGGGTTTCATCAATACGGAGGCAAGCGTGATGGGCTAGTTGTCTGAAGTTCACTCCCTTTGTCAGAAACGTGCTGTCAGTAGCTCTGAAAGAACACATTTGCCCTCTTTTTTTACAAAGTTTGCAAGCACCATTATTGGTCAGAATGTGGCTAAGGAAACCCAGTGGTCTATGGTGGATCCAGATCAACAGCATATTTCAGGTACTTCCACATCTCAAATGAGACAAGGGGCGGTGGGGTAGTCTCTTGGTTAAAGCGTTGGCTCGTCACGCCGAAGACCTGGGTTCGAATCCCCACATGGGTACAGTGAGTGAAGCCCATTTTTGGTGTCCCCCGCCGTGATATTGCTGGAATATTGCTAAAAGCGGCGTAAAACCAAACTTAGTCAGTCAGTCATATGAGACAAAGCAAATTGTGCAAGTTGTTGTATAGAGTTAGATCCTTTAGCCATGGCATGGTAGTGAGTTTGAATCTCAATTGACCTGATTGAGATAATCCTCAAGATTATGATGATCTTTGGTCTTCACCACTTCGAGCCACCCACTCGTACACATTATACTGACTTCGAACCTGGCAACAAGTACTATTATTTAACATCTTTTGCTATGACACATTCAGGATCGCTAATAGGTTTGCAGACACTGTTAGAATAGGTCCATAGCACTTTTGTTCATGAGGTGAGGCAATTATTTTGGGCCCAGTTGTCAGACTCATGTCTCTGAGCATTTCTCATATCGAACACTGGGTGCGGTTGTACAAAACAACCTTAGCGCCAGTCAAGTCTATGTTAAGGTATGGTAGTTACGATCACCTTAGCCCTAAGATCGTTTTGTACAACGGCACCCTGGTCAGGGCCAAACTCGGTTGAAGACATATTTGAATATTGTAGCTGTGACGTTAAGCATTTCACTCGACAACAACACCAGACGCTGTTAACGTCAGTTTGACCACTTTTCTATTCAGTCCATTGTATTTCATATGGGGACGGGCGGTGGGGTAGCCTAGTGGTTAAAGCGTTCGCTCGTCACGCCGAAGACCCGGGTTCGATTCCCCACATGGGTACAATGTGTGAAGCCAATTTCTGGTGTCCCCCGCCGTGATATTGCTGGAATATTGCTCAAAGCGGCGTAAAACCATACTCACTCATATGGGGACGATGGGGCATCCTAGTGGTTAAAGAGTTGGCTCGTCACGCCAAAGAACCAGGTTTGATACCCCACATGAGTACAATGTGTGAAGCCAATTTCTGGCGCCCCGTCATATAGCTGGAACATTGCTAAAGGGGCGTAGCACCATACTCACTGACGGTATGTCATAAGTCTTTCCAGAATCACCACATATTTGTATTGCAATACAGCCACGAACAATTCATTCAATCTACTGTATTTTTATGACCAGATAAAACAGGACTAAGCAAAAGGTTCAGTTCAGTTTTGATATTTATTAAATATAGATTTCACCCGCAATCGCCATTATGGAATTTCCATAGACTCTGCACATTGACTAGATCATCAGGATCAGGTCCTTTGGGGATCCTAATGTCTTTCACCTGTGCATCACCTATACTTCCTGTCAGTCAGACACACACAGACCCACATACCACCAAAGCGTTTGCAGTCACCATATGGCTGAAATACTGCCGATGAGACTTAACTTGTAACACACTCTTTAAGCATTTAAACCGGACTAGGAACCCAAGGTAAGACGATACTGTTGATGGATGCAATATACAACAGAATGAGACCATGATGTATGACGACATGATGAGAGATGGTGACGTAACCAATATAACGTCGTTGACGTTCCTTCATAAGGTGGACAGCTGACTGTGACGTCATGAGATACATCCACAGTAAGCTTCGCCTTGCAACAAGAATCCAGAATCTTGCCTGTTTCACTTTTGTAGCCTCATCTCGCACCACGAAGTTTAGTCTTTATTGTTTTGTATATGTACACAGTTAACCCACTTATAAATAGTCCGTATTTTCATTTCCATGCGTAAAATTCTGTTATGTCCCATTTCTGTTCCATTTCATTGTCGTTGCATTCCTTTAGGACCACCGATCCATTGGGATTGAGGAATAAACATTTATTGCGACTTTTATTGTATATGCGACCGCTTGTCTGGAAAAGGAAACAACATTTTAGCCATAATGATGTCAACAATATTGAAATGCAATCATAAGTACGTGGTGTCAGAAGTCCAATCAGACATTATGATTGTCATTCACGTTGTAAGTGAGTATAGTTGTACGCCGCTTTTAGCAATATTCCAGCAATACTGCGGCGGGGGACACTAGAAAAAGCTTAATTTTATGGTGTGATTATTATGGCAACGAATATTTAGTTGAAAAACCGGACTGGATTCAAGGTTCAAGTGAGGTTGTAAGATGCAAATATCTTAAATGATTTGGACATTCTAGCAAGAATGAGAGAATAATGTTTAACCCGGCATTCAAACCTATTCCTGCAACTATTCCAGTATGGGCCAGGCTTACCAGTGATTGATCCTATAGACAACGTCATACACCGTCTGGGTAGACGGACATTCACACAAGCAAGTTGCTGAGCCTTACCACTGACATCATTTTGGTCAGCTCATTTAACAAACATACTTGCCATATTCTCACTCGGAATCCCTTCGGGTGTTTACGTAACTAACCTTGTCCCAGTCCCAAGGGCCACTGAGGTCTGTCGTACTGCACCACTCCAGGGTAACGGCACCGTCATCTAACGCCAGTAAGCAACGTTCCCCGTTACCAATCTGGCCTTTTGTATTCAGCCTGAATATCTGCACATATATAGAGATAGTGAGTTACGTGTAATAGTGAAGAATAATGACAATTATTATGGATATACAACTTCTTTTATTCTGTGGAGGCGACGTTTCGACATAGGTTCTAATGTCGTTGTCAAGCAAGCAAGACAACGACATTAGAACCTATGTCGAAACGTCGCCTCCATAGAATAAAAGAAGTTGTATATCCATAATAATTGTCATTATTCTTCATCAACTCAACTGCTAAAATGCCCATCAAAGAAGTCATACGTGTAATAGTGTTTAACGTCTAGCTAACACATTCTAGCTTTGTAAATAAGACTGTCAAGATAAAACTAGTGATTGACAGCATGAGCAAAGATCAGGGTACGATGGCAATCAGCCAAAATGCCACACAGTCTGACCCCATTTAAAAACGAGTGAGGTACTGTGGACCTGTTACAGTTTGTTAGAATTATTATGACTCAACACACTGAACCGTTAGCCGCAGATAAGAGTAAAATAATAAGATGATAACATGAAATATTGTGTATGCTAGAATGTGTGCGTGCGGTTGTGTTGTTGAACACCACAAAATTCCATCACGATAACGGTGGCCTTTTAAGAATCGACACTTGACCAACCCCGTGGTTGATATAATGAACAACGATCCATGCTGACAAGCAATCAACCGAGTCACCAAACCAGACCATCCGATTGATGACGCCGATTCAAACGGCCATCGCTTGAGACCTATGCTAAAATCGAATCCCTATAGGTAAACGGTGTTTTACCTGTATCAAATCACTCAGACATGTATATTATTACAGCTGGGGTGTCCATGTGTTCTTTATGAACACATGTGGTGTCAACGTTAAATGTATACCGCCAACGCTACAGAATAATCAGTCTATTTTCTGCCGAAACGGCTACCATTGGGAGTAAAAGATAAAATAATGACCAATGTTAAAAGGTGAATCGATCACAAAGGAATCACGCATGATCAAATAATTGTTCACGATCACCTTTTTTCGTCTAGACAAGATAATAAAGTTTTATGGATGATGTTCCTCTTAATAAAGAAGCTGACATCCATAAAACTCTCATCCTAATGTGTATCACTTCTAACATGCCATGCAATGACCTCAAGATAATACGTATTTTATTGGAGTCTACGACAAGTTTATCTGTGAAATACTGGGTGTTACTGAGCATGGGTGTAGCTCTCTTACCATGTTTTGGTATTGTTTTACGCCGCACCCATCAATATTCCAGCTACATGACGCTGTCTGAAAATAATTCAGTCTGGACCAGACAATCCAGTTATTGACACCAGGAGCATCGATCTAATCAATTGGGATACAGTGGCATGTATCATCAGCGAGTCTGACCACCCGATCCCGTTAGTCGCCTCTTAAGGCAAGCATAGGTTGCTGAAGATCATTTCTAACTCGGATCTTCACGGGTCCACTAACCATGTATTTGGTATACTCACAGCATTTGCACCTGAGCAGGGGTAGGAACCGAGGGCACTCTTCCCATTATGAACAGACGTGAATTCCAGACATGAAGTGCCATTTGATTTTCTCGAATTTATCTGAAACACATATAACAGTTGCTTATGGTATAGAGGTGGTTTCAATGTAACTCCATAGGCGGACCCACCCCCCACCCCCCTTTTTGTGCTGAAAGTTTGTTAAATGACCATTGAAACTAGGGTGTACAATAAAGCGTGCACCCCTCCTTTTCTCATCGTTCTGACGAATCATCTGAAGACCTTTTCACGCAGATTCACAAATGATCGCCAAAAGGTGTGCACTCATATATTCACAAGGAACAATTTCACACGTCTTCCTCCTCAGTCAAATGAACTGTATTAAACAGATCTTGAAATATGTATTTCCTTCCTGTTATAAAATTGTATATTTATGCATGACTGTGAATGTGTATAACGTATCGCTGGAACGGTTCCTACAGACCGACTGTAGAAGGTTGGTTGGTTGTTTAACGCCGCACTCGGCAATATTCCAGCTATATGGCGGCGGTCTGTAAATAATCGAGTCTGGACCAGACAATCCAGTGATTAGCATCATGAACGATGACACGTGTCAACCAAGTCAGCGAGCCTGACCACCCGATACAATTTCTAAACCATATCTTCACGGGTATGACTGTAGAAGGCAAAAATGTTTTAAGTATAATACTTGCACGTTGAAGGGGTACTCAGCTATGTATTTTTAGGCCAACGGTTTCCGATGTCAGGTGTATGTACTAGGTGTACCTTGGTGTAAGTAACACAATTTGTAACATCTCCATCCGAATATATATATAACGAACGTTCCCTCTCGACATGTGTAAACAACACAAACTTAGCAATGTAAATTGGATCCTTTTTGGTTTGTGTTCGGTTTGTTTGTTTCATAAAGGATTGTTTTGAAAGCATATATAGTTGGTGTGGAGCCCAGGTAGCTTGGAGAAACTAATTCTCAGTTTTGAGGTCTTATGTAAATATGGTACATAGGAGAACGATCAACGTGGCCTTTGAGTATATATGCGCACTATGTTGGTACCTACCCTTCCCCAGGCTTTGTTTGGAGCCGGTGGCGGAAACCTGTTGTATATATCGTAGGCGACATTATCTATGAACCACTGGAAGCTCCTGCAATGGTTGTCTTTTCTAAACTTGAGTTCTTTAGTGATATTCACAGGATAACCTCGGAGCTGGGGTTCCCGTCTGTAGAAGTACTCACTGAATATGCCATCCATCCAGACCTCCACGACCCGGATGTAGTTCTGCAATAGAACAATGGCCTTCATTCAGCTACCTGTTTTGGTGCTTTTTTGTTTTTGTTTGTTGTTTGTTGTTTAAGGTCACAGTGGTCCAGTGAGTGAGTGAGTTTAGTTTTACGCCGCACTCAGCAATATTCCAGCTATATGACGGCGGTCTATAAATAATTAAGTTTGGACCAGACAGACCGCCGCCATATAGTTGGAATATTGCTGATTGCGCCGTAAAACTAAACTCATTCACTCACTCACTGGACCAGACAATCCCGTGATCAACAGTACGAATCTACGCAATAGGGATACGATGTCATGTGACAACCAAGTCAGTGAGCCTGATCACCCGATCCCGTTAGTCGCCTCTTACGACAAGCATGGGTTGCTAAAAAACAATTCTAACCCGGATCTTCACGAGTCGATTCCCTTACTATGGGAGTTTGGTTATAAGAAAGGGCGTCTATAGAATATAATATTAGAACTTCCATTGTGTCTTGATGGTCTCTCATGGACGTAATAGTGTTACTGATGGATAAGGATAGTCGTCAGCAATTAAAATACTAATATTTCGTTAGTTAGAACAAGTAACATAGGATAATACAACATTATAAACGTACTATATGGGTTGGAGAAAGTTTGGTCTTAATATTGCTTTTCCTGGCTGGTGTATAATGACGATAGATGTGCCCCACCCTGGAGCAAGGAACCCATTCCGATGACCCGCCACACTGCCACACCTGTAAATAAAACATCTGAATTAGTTGTACTGGAACCCCGTTAGACAATTAAGTTAAGGGAGAGGTGGGGTAGCCTAGTGGTTAAAGCGTTCGCTCGTCACGCCGAAAATCTGGCTTCGATTCCCCACATGGGTACACTGTATGAGGCTAATTCTGGAGTCCTTACCCTTGGTGTTGCTGGAATATTGCGAAATGCGGCGTAAAAATAAACTCACTCATTCACTATTTCAGTTAAGACAGCCTATCAGTTTCATTTTGGAAGAAGTCAGTGAGAGTGAGAGAGTTTGGTTTTACGCCGCTTTTTAGCAATATTCCAGCAATATCACGACAGGGGACACCAGAAATGGGCTTCACATAATGTCCCCATGTGGGACAAAACCCGGGTCTTCGACGAGACGAGCGAACGCTTTAACCTCTAGGCTACCCTACCGCCCCTTTTTGGAAGAAGAGAAGAAGGTTTCGCGGTCTTACTCGTTTCCGACTTCAGTGACACCTGGGATGGCGGATCTATATTACGCAGAATCTTTCATGTCAAGAGCTGCAGCTACAATCTTTCAACATCACACCTAGACCTAGCTCACAAAGCCAAGTTTCAACAAGGCTACCAATGATTGATAATATGAACGTCAGTCTTGATCAGGGTCGGTGACAGTACTGTTGTACTCAATGTAGGGCTGACCACACGGCCCCTTTTGACCACTGGTTGTACTCAATGTAGGGCTGACCACACGGCCCCTTTTGACTCATTGTATAAGTGTAAACAAGGTTCTCCTCATGGAAGAGTGTTGACTGAACTCGGAACAACGACGAAGGGAACCTTATCTAGGTTTACTGGATACAAACATGCGCGCGTTCCGTATGACAGAATGCTGACAAATGAATATAACTATAAATAGTATCGCGTGAATATATAATGAAAGTACTGACACAAGAAATAGCACAGATTGTTTTTCATTTTATAAAGACGTGTTCCTTACAAACCTTCAAATACAAAACCTCTTCACCAAGTCTGGTAAATCGAAACAATTACTGCTTTGGTTTGTTCAATGCCAACACTATAAAGCGGATGCAAAACACAACCATACAATAACAAAACATATCAGATATGTCGGGGGCGGTGGGGTAGCCTAGTGGTTAAAGCGTTCGCTCGTCACGCCGAAGTCCCGGGTTCGATTCCTCACATGGGTACAATGTGTGAAGCCCATTTCTGGTGCCCCCGCCGTGATATTGCTGGAATATTGCTAGAAGCGGAGTGAACTCACTCACTCACTCACTCTGATATGTCAGTAACACCACAGTACCTTAAAAGCAAGTTCAAAATTTTCTCCACCCCAAATCTTTAGGTTCGGATCATATGCTCCAAGTTCAAAGAAAAACTTTCTGTCGATGGCAAACAGTCCCCCAGCGTTGGTGGCGGACCTACGGAAGACGGGAATTGTAGACATGAAACACTGAGAAGAAAATGTAACCTGAAATACGAAATGTAACCTGCACTGGATCTACAGCAGAAAGGGTGGTATACATTTTTCAGGGTGAAGTAATTGAAGGAAGCATAAAATACATTTTAACACCGATATATACCATTTAAGATCCATTTTTCACACCATCCAAAATCATGCTAATCATCAAAGTTAGACTGCATTGTTATCACTGAAACAAACATGCTCAAGCTTGAGGAGGATCTCCTACTCACCAATATGGTTCGGTGTCGTGCTGTCGCTTGTCCAGTTCCTTCTGGGGCACGGGGTCTTCCTTGTAAAAGAAACCCCATTCAAAACCGCCTCTGTGGTGTTTGGAATTGTATGAGGACCGATACTCGTAACTAGTCCAGTCAATGCCATCGACTACAGGGGCAGCCATGATCGTCCTGCAATACATGCAGACTTGATCTCATGTAATGTCCTTCCAGAAACATATAGGTGTTAAACTTTGTTGTTTGATTCCGTGGACTAGACAAATCAGTGATTGGTCCTATGAGCAATAATCTCCTCCTCGTATAACAATCATGGGTTGATGGGGATTAGTAGTACTTTGGACTCAACTCGGGGTAAAAGCTACAATTGTGTCAAGTGTCCATAAGTACAACTGTATGTCAAGTGATCATCAATTCAATTATATGTCGAGTGTCCACCAATACAACTGTATGTCAAGTGTCCATCAATACAACTGTATGTCGAGTGTCCATCAATACAACTGTATGTCGAGTCTCCATCAATACAACTGTATGTCGAGTGTACATCAATACAACTGTATTTCGAGTGTCCATCAATACAACTGTATGTCGATTATCCATCAATACAACTGTATGTCGAGTGTCCATCAATGCAACTGTATGTCGAGTCTCCATCAATACAACTGTATGTCGAGTCTCCATCAATACAACTGTATGTCGAGTGTCCATCAATACAACTGTATGTCGAGTCTCCATCAATACAACTGTATGTCGATTATCCATCAATACAACTATATGTCGAGTGTCCATCAATACAACTGTATGTCGAGTGTCCATCAATACAACTGTATGTCGAGTCTCCATCAATACAACTATATGTCGAGTCTCCATCAATACAACTGTATGTCAAGTGTCCATCAATACAACTGTATGTCGAGTTTCCATCAATACAACTGTATGTCCAGTCTCCATCAATACAACTGTATGTCGAGTCCTGTATCCTGTATGTCAGTGTCCATCAATACTGTATGTCGAGTGTCCATCAATACAACTGTATGTCGAGTCTCCATCAATACAACTGTATGTCGAGTGTCCATCAATACAACTGTATGTCGAGTGTCCATCAATACAACTGTATGTCGAGTCTCCATCAATACAACTGTATGTCGAGTCTCCATCAATACAACTGTATGTCGAGTCTCCATCAATACAACTGTATGTCGAGTGTCCATCAATACAACTGTATGTCGAGTGTCCATCAATACAACTGTATGTCGAGTGTCCATCAATACAACTGTATGTCGAGTCTCCATCAATACAACTGTATGTCGAGTCTCCATCAATACAACTGTATGTCGAGTCTCCATCAATACAACTGTATGTCGAGTGTCCATCAATACAACTGTATGTCGAGTGTCCATCAATACAACTGTATGTCGAGTGTCCATCAATACAACTGTATGTCGAGTGTCCATCAATACAACTGTATGTCGAGTCTCCATCAATACAACTGTATGTCCAGTCTCCACCAATACAACTGTATGTCAAGTGTCTACCAATACAACTGTATGTCGAGTGTCCATCAATACAACTGTATGTCGAGAGTCAATCAATACAACTGTATGTCGAGTGTCCATCTATACAACTGTATGTCGAGTCTTCATCAATACAACTGTATGTCCAGTCTCCACCAATACAACTGTATGTCAAGTGTCCACCAATACAACTGTATGTCGAGTGTCCATCAATACAACTGTATGTCCAGTCTCCCTCAATGAAACTGTCTCCACCAATACAACAGCGTAACGTGTCCACTGTAATGTTTCTGTATGTCAAGTGTCTATCTGCAATACCTATAATATATATGTGTATGTGCGGCTGCTTATACTAGCCCAGTCTGAAGCTTTTATGGTGCTAGTGTCTATCTGCAATACCTGTAATGTTTCTGTATGTCAAGTGTCTAAATGCAATACCTAAGCGTTTTAATGTCGTTTTAATGTCGCTGATCATATACACATTTGTGTATCAAAGAGAAAATCGTTGAACAAGGTTCAGAATATATGTTTGGTTTATGCAGCTGGTGAATTGATTTACTGTCACCAGTTATTCTGCACAACTGTGGATGTGGAACGGTAATGTCAGATAATACCCATCGATTTCCTGACGAAAAATATTCAGCTGGGCATAAAAATCAAACTAGCTTTAAACATTTATATGAATGGATAGTCGATAGCTGTTTGGTTTGTTAACATTTGTTCATTAATCAGCAGCATGGGTGAATGTAGTTGTACAGGATTGTTTGTTTAGAGCCTTATTTCAGCAACCAATGAATAATTAACATCGACCAAACAAACAAGTGGTTGATAATACGAGGAACCTCCCCAGCCATTGGGATACAATGACAGGCATTCAGCCTGAACACCGATAATTGATTCATGAGACAAAAGTGTGCCTGGGACCTATTCTTACAAAGAATCATTACTTGGTCAAAATGTAAATGATATATTTGTTTTGTGAATACACCACCTGTCATAAGCGATTCTCGTCAACAAGGGAGGTAACCAGTTTGGGCTGCATTCACAATGGGCATCTAGAAAAATGACGACGTCGCCGGAAGCTGCTCGGGCTCCGATGGTTCGAGCCTGTATCAGGCCTTCTCTGTCACTGTTGCGCACAATCTTCACCTTGTCGCCAAACTGGCGCATGTGATCCTCCAATCTGGATTTTAAATGCTCTGCAAAAATTCAGAAAATGGAGAACTGAAACCAGATTCGGCATAATACATAGACGATAGCGTTGTTGATTACCTCTTTATCAATAAACCTTTACTCTCACAAGTATTACATTTACCAGGTACTCGCTAGTGTTATTAATTAACCATGATTTGGATTTTCATGTCATATCTACGATTGAAATTGGAACCGTTTTGAGGTAAAGGAAGGCAGTGGGTCAACAGGCTGATTATATTTTGGATGACTTATGTTGTAGAATGACTCCAGCTTTCGTTATTGGAAAACACCGGGTGGTGTGCTTAGACTGTTGAAGGCTTAAGACAATATCATTAGGGAGCTGCTTGCGTATATCATGGCCACAGGGCCAGCCTGCTTATGTTATTGGACAATACCGGGTTGAGAAAACGTCCTTATGCTACAACACAGTGGCTGTACACAGGCTGTTTATAGTGTAGGGCAACGTTTATTTCAATTAATGCCATCTAGTGTCAGCATTTGGGTACGCATCGGTAATAGAATGAGTACTGTACTCTGAAGTTGCTCTTGAAACAGTTGCTGACTATCTTCTGACTGTCCAAAGAACTATCTTCTGACTGTCCAAAGGACTATCTTATGACTGCGCAAGGGACTATATTCAGACTGTCCAAAGGACCATCTTCTGACTGTCCAAAGGAGTAACTTCTGACTGTTCAAAGGACGAACTTCTGACTGTCCAAAGGATCATCCTCTGACTGTCCAAAGGACTATCTTCTGACTGTTTAAAGGACTAACCCCTGACTATCTTCCTCGTTCAATTACGTCATGCAATGAAAGGGCATAAGGAACTACAGGTGGAACCGTATTCTCTGATTAACCTCACTAATCATCCCTGATCCATTTGCATACTTCAGTATATAAAACTCAAAACCGTCGTTACGACGAGGTAGGTTTGTGTAGATCCAGGACGATGATAATTTCTACAGTCGTACCTTCAAAGGTTCTTGTTACAATTTAGACTGCCCAAAGGACTATCACCTGTCCAAATGATTAACTTCTGACTGTCCAAGGGACTAACTTCTGACTGTCCAAAGGACTAACCCTAACTGTACATTTAACGGATCGTACGATAACGAGGTAGGTTTGTGTAGATCACTGGCGTACGATAACAATCACACTCGTATATAGAATGGCTACCTAGTTAAACCAGACAGTACGCATAATTACCTTTGTCGCTCCCGTCATCTACCAAGACGACCTCCTTCAGCAGCTGCGGTGGCGACATGTTGATGACGCTGTGGACCGTCCTGACGAAGGTGGACCAGCCCTCGTTGTGGAACACCAGGATGACACTGGCTGTGGGCAGTTTCTCTGGGTAGTGCCAATACTTGCATCTGAAACATGACTGGGTTGCTAGGAGTTCTCACCACGTCGTTTGTGTATACATTGTCCACTATGCACTCAGGTTCGGAATCGAACTGCGGTCCTCGGCGTGACAAGTAAACGCTTTAACCATTAGGCCAGCCAACCGCCCCAGTCTATACGATCAGTGGCTTTAAATTCCAGGACCTAACCACTGAGAGGAAATGTTCCTATAAGAAGCACATCATTTTGCCACAACAGACAGTTTCAAACATGAAGATTTTTCATAAGGTCTCAAATCCTATTCAAGATTCAAATCAACATCTAAATATAAACGGGGCTTTGGGGTGGCCTAGTGGTTAAAGCGTTCGCTCGTCCCGCCGAAGACCTGGGTTCGATTCCCCATATGGATACAATTTGTGAAGCCCATTTCTGGTGTCCCCCGTCGTGATATTGCTAGAATATTGCTAAAAGCGGCGTAAAACTAAACTCTCTCACTCACTCACAATATAAACAACCTATATAGATTTATCTTCTATACAAATAAATCAATAAATGTTAACGTACCCTGAAAGTATCAGACAGACTGTCTGTATTCAAGTATCAACTATGCTATAACCTACTCTTCCTGCCGAATGTCCTTCAGTACTCTGTCCAGTGATATCTTGTCGCTGTTGACCATATTGAAGCCGAATTCTCTGGCCGTTTTCTCAATCAAGTCCTTTTCGTTTGGATCGGTAGGAACCGGAACTCCGTATTCTCCTTGAAGGTCAAAGACAAAATGTATGTTAACACTATCTTGGTGAGAAAAGGGGGGCAGTAAAACTTCGATAAACATTGATAAACATTCTACATAAAGACTGGCAAATTCTAAACAATCTCCCTTTCTGCTTCACCAGTTCAGTCCTAAATATGCGTATAACTCACTCAAAATGAGCACAACATCCGAACGCCCAAATTTCCTCCCCACCAAAAACCACCCTGCCCGATCTCACTGCCCGATGTCATGAAGACCACAAGTCCCAATCCCACATCCCCCCACCATCCCTGCCAATACCACCCAAGTCCTTACCCTCCTACCCCCCTACTCCCTGAACCATCTGGATAGTTGCCCCATCCCGACTATGACCCCCAACATAAATCCCCTACTCCATCTGCTGCCCTTCCCCATACACAACCATCATCCCTATCTAAATCCCGCCTCCATCCACTACTAAAACCTAACCCCTCCCCGACCATCACCCCACCCCAGCCCAACTCAGATCCCACCTCCATCCACAACCCCTAATCCCAACCCCGACCATCACCCATACCTACATTCCGCCTATATACTCTGCCCCATCTCCATATCTCCGTCACCCCTATCCAAATCCCACCTCCATCCCCTTCCCTAAGGCCCTAACCCCATACCTACCCACATCCGACCTATATCACCTGCTCTACACCCATACCAAACTGTCACCCCTACCAAAGTCCCACCTCCATCCCCTGCCCCAAACCCCACCCCTGACCATCACACCTACCCACATCCCACCTATATCACCTGCTCTACACCCATACCAAACTGTCACCCCTACCAAAGTCCCACCTCCATCCCCTGCCAAAACCCCACCCCGACCATCAAACCTACCCACATCCCACCTATGTCCCTTGCACTACCCCTTTACCAAACCGTCACCCCTACCAAAATCCCACCTCCATCCCCTGCCCAAACCCCACCCCGACCATCATACCTACCCACATCCCACCTATGTCCCTTGCACTACCCCATTTTAATGTGATGTTGTAAGAAACCTAGAACACAATACCTGGTCCTTTTCTATTCATGTCCAGTGTAGGTTCGTAGTTTCCACGGACGCCAGGTTTATAGACAGCGTTGGGAGAATACGGTTTTTTCGTCCATGTAGGTTCCATCTCGCCGCCGTCAGCTTTCCCCTCGGAGTCCGGTTTGGGCGGAGGCTGGAGTGGATCGAACTTCTTTTTCATTAGAATCTGCGGAAGTGAGAAAAATTTGTGTCTCACATTAACTTGCTCCACACTGAGTACTTGTTTCCCTCACCATCTTGGCAAAACAATATCTACCAAACCACACATTTATAAGACTATTCGTTCATGTCGGTGAGGTCTTTCGAAACACGTTGTACTTGGAGCTCATTCTGACCCTGAAATACACCCGGTGTGTGGGGTGGTGGTGTGTGTTGTAAAATGACGCGTGGGACGTGTGTGCTTGGTAGATCAGTGTGGGGTAAAGATCACCAAGCGTTAACAGAGACGTCTTTGAGACGTTACGTCGCGGTGGTCACATGAATGAGTGGACACCATTGCACTAAGATATCCGTAGATGACATCTTTATAAATTGCAACCCTGGGGGGCTTGTCGACGTGGTCCTGGTCCTCCACCACATACACACTGCTGGAGATGTTTGCTTGGATTGGGATCCGGTGACGGCCAAACAGTACGTTTATATACTCTTTAAAAAACATAGGGAAACTTCTTTTATAATTTACGATTGAAGAAATTGGGAGATATATCGGAGTCAGTTAATGTTGATATGATAATAATGAATGTTTTGAGAGTGTATCACCGCTTGCACTTCCTTATGACCATAGTTGTTTGTACAGTAATCGCTCTTGAAAGATGATTGGTGTATGACGTGAAATTCATTTTCAAACAAAAATAAATGGCTAGAAACAACTGTATGATGCAAGATGATTGTCAAAATTAATGGTCTACAGTGATTTATCGACCTTGTTGAAAACCGTCAAAATCAAGAATGACACCCCATGCACATGTTTGGGGCTGCTGCGTTGTGCACGTTGTGTTCAGATAAAGAGAAATGGTGGTGCGTTCATAAGATGTCTGTCTTTGAAAAGTTTGTTAACGCTTATATTCTGGCCACATAAAGAAACTGTGCACACAGAAAATATATATAAAGAAAGGCAGACAGCGTCTTTATACATAAATAAAGGTGTGAACATAGCAAGTATTGGAGACAATTAAACGCTCATGCAGGTACCAGGCGACGTGACGTCATTGATGGTGGCCTATGGACTTGCAATGTGTTACAGCCCGTGCAGCTGTACACAACATGTGAAACTCAGAAATTGCTGTCACTGTCGAAAGCTTGATCTTTGGTCATTCAAACGTTCACAAATTCACATGAGAAGTCACATGCACATCATGCCAAGATTATTAACATCTGCTCAAGGTGAGGTGAGGTGAAATTGGGTTTAACGTCGTGCTTGAGAATATTTCGCTCATATGACGACGTGCATGCGTGCGTATGTGTATGTGCGGCTGCTTGTACTAGCCCAGACTGAAGCTGGTTTTATAGTGCTAGCCCACTGAGAGACCATGCCGCAGTGAAGCATGAATACCCCACTCAGACACATTATACTGAGTCTTTTTACTAACTCCGAGCCGATCAGTCATTGTTGTACCCATTAAAGCCGAGCGCCAGGCAGGGACCAACAAGTACCATATTTTAACGTCTTTTGGTATGACGCAGTCGGGGATCGAACCCGCGACCTTCCGCTCTCCAGGCGGACGCTCTCACCACTACACCACGGAGGTGGTCTAACATCTGCTCAACGTCATGAAGCCATTGGAATGGTTCGAGCAGGCATGAGCCAACAACAGGTGACAGCACATTTCCAATGCCATCGTAACACGATATCTGCATTGGTCAGGCGTTATGGAAACAGTAATGACGTCGCCGACCACCCACGTTCTGGGCGTCCCCGAGTAATGACGCCAAGACAGGACAGATGGATTCGGGTGACTCATCTCAGACACAGGTTCCAGACGGCAGTGACTACGTCCCAAACCATTCCCCAGGCCTTCAATGCTCATTTGGTAGCCTCTATGCGTCGTCGATGCACTGCTGTGCTTCACGCGCATGATGGTCATACCCGTTATTAACTTTGTGACTTTGACGTGTGACCCCCGACTCAATTTTTCGTTACATCGTTACAGATATTGCTCATGTTCTTTTGATGTGTTGTTGTGGCCGGATACTTCAGCTTATAAAGTGTCTACACCATTTTGTCTTTTCTGTGTTGTATTCCAATTCTGAAGGAATTTTCTGTGTGCACAGTTTCTTTATGTGGCTTGTACTTCCTATCCAAATTGAAAGTTCAGGTTCCCCTATTTTTTGTAAGAGTATATCTGACGGTAATCAGTACAGATTCACGGTGCGTGGAGATAAACATCGTCATACTTGAAAACTGGTATATTTCTAGTCATTGCGGATCCGGGACAACGTCACGATAACGCATACCTGTAGGTTTCCCAATGTGAACATATTATGTCTCGTATAAAGGAATCATTTCGTCGCCAATAAGTACGAACCCGTCAACCTCTCCTTTGGAGAAGGAAACGTGATTCGCCACTAAAGCAAATATATCGCCACCGTTGGCAAATCTGTATGCAACCGACACTGCAGCCGCTGAAGTCGATTACGTGAGTTAATATAACGTAAAAGTAGGCGCTGTTGGGTTGGATTACGTCAGCTCATACGCTGTTACGGACAGTCTGTGCCGATATAGAACGTGAGCCAGACCGTTAACATGGCAGTTCATATGTTGAAGATCGTTGATTTTAATCCTTTTAACCCTCCTTCTCAGTTAATGCTGAATAAGGGATATTTTCAATCCATGACATTTACTTTTGAAATTATTTTAGATGACGCATGCGTTTCTCTTTTTCCATAGTAAATGTCAATATAATTGTCTTTAAACATTTTTAGAACTGTAAAAAATTTATTAAGGAAATGAGGTATAATTACAGTCATCAAAACCGAATTCGAGTAATCAGGAGGATATAAATTTAACAATTTGTTGGTGTAGCATCAAGGCCAGGCAATACCAGTGTAGCATCAAGGCCAGGCAATACCAGTGTAGCATCAAGGCCAGACAATACCAGTGTAGCATCAAGCAATACCAGTGTAGCATCAAGGCCAGGCAATACCAGTGTAGCATCAAGGCCAGGCAATACCAGTGTAGCATCAAGGCCAAGACAATACCAGTGTAGCATCAAGGCCAGGCAATACCAGTGTAGCATCAAGGCCAGGCAATACCAGTGTAGCATCAAGGCCAGGCAATACCAGTGTAGCATCAAGGCCAAGCAATACCAGTGTAGCATCAAGGCCAGGCAATACCAGTGTAGCATCAAGGCCAGGCAATACCAGTGTAGCATCAAGGCCAGGCAATACCAGTGTAGCATCAAGGCCAGGTGTAGCATCAAGGCCAGGCAGTGCAGCGTCAAGGCCAGGCAATACCAGTGTAGCATCAAGGCCAGGCAATACCAGTGTAGCATCAAGGCCAGGCAATACCAGTGTAGCATCAAGGCCAGGCAATACCAGTGTAGCATCAAGGCCAGGCAATACCAGTGTAGCATCAAGGCCAGGCAATACCAGTGTAGCGTCAAGGCCAGGCAATAGCATCAGGCCAGTAGCAGGCAATCAAGGCCAGGCAATACAGTGTATCACCAGTGTAGCGTCAAGGCCAGCAATACAGGCCAGGCAATGTAGCATCAATACCAGTGTAGCATCAAGGCCAGGCAATACCAGTGTAGGCCAGGCCAGACAATACCAATACCAGTGTAGCGTCAAGGCCAGGCCAGTGCATCAAGGCCAGGCAATACCAGTGTAGCATCAAGGCCAGACAATACCAGTGTAGCATCAAGGCCAGGCAATACCAGTATAGCATCAAGGCCAGGCAATACAAGTGTAGCATCAAGGCCAGGCAATACCAGTGTAGCATCAAGGCCAGGCAATATCAGTGTAGCGTCAAACACAGCAACATCGATCTTATACCGAGACATTGCAGTAACTCAGTCTCCACTGCGTCTTCTCTGGTTGCTTGATGTTGGCGAGTGTATTTCACATCTGTTTCCTAAATATCAATATGTAGTTGTAATTATGCAGCAAACATAACTCGAACAAGTAAAACGTTCACACAGACAACACACGTCATCCAACATTTACGACCTGCAGCATAATTATATTGTGACTTATCAAGAAACGTTAATGTAGCAATTATTATATTTGATATTTGCGTTGTCGAGTATGCTTAGGGAGAAATTAATTGTCCAACTGGCGGTCGCATTAGGAAATAACTACCCTTGTTAGCTCGGGAGTATAACAAAGGTAGAAATAAGTGCCATTAACTTAAGATAAAAACAAAATTTACAGTACGCTAAGTAACAGACAGACAGACACAGACAGACAGACAGACAGGCAGGCAGACAGACAGACAGACAGACACAGACAGACAGACAGACAGACACAGACAGACAGACAGACACAGACAGACACACAGACAGACACGGACAGACAGACACGGACAGACAGACACAGACAGACAGACACAGACAGACAGACAGACAGACACAGACAGACACGCAGACAGACACGGACAGACAGACACAGACAGACAGACAGACACAGACAGACACAGACAGACAGACAGACACAGACAGACACAGACAGACAGACACGGACAGACACAGACAGACAGACACAGACAGACAGACACAGACAGACAGACAGACAGACAGACAGACAGACACAGACAGACAGACACAGACAGACAGACAGACAGACAGACAGACAGACACAGACAGACAGACACACAGACAGACAGACAGACAGACACAGACAGACAGACAGACACAGACACGGACAGACACAGACAGACACAGACAGACAGACACAGACAGACACAGACAGTGTCCAACATCATTGCATCACACACAAAACAACACATTTCCAAATAAAAATTAAAACAGAAAACAAAAAGAATGTTCGACTATATTCTAGAATTGTGGACAAACTTTTAGGGTATTTAGGTCCATGGCAAATTCCCAGTTCTACCGACAACATAGTTAGTGCCTCCAGTCACGTTATCGGAGCATAAGATTGACTGTAATTTGTACGTGCTTTTTATTGTTTAACCCTGGACTCACCAATATTATATAACGGTGGACTGTT